AATTTTATCCTTTAGAATGATATTCGATTCAAGTCTCTACGATTTTTAATTACGGAGATATTGATTATTAATAATGTAGGGAAAAAAAATTAATAAACAAAATAATTTTTTTATTAATTATTTATTAATTTTCATTAATTTATTAATTTTCATGAGATTTTATAAATTGGAATTTCTTTATTGACAAAATAAGATGAATTTAGGTCGTAAGGAGTTTTTTTATAAAAATTGTTTATAACAAATTAATTAATTAAATTAATTATTAACAATACGATGGAAAAAAAAATAGAGAAAACTTTGCCCTTTAAAACGGTATTTTATTCAAGTCTCTACGACTTTTAGTTCCAAAGATATTCCCATGTAAACGAAATATTCGATTATTAATAATGTAGGGAAAAAAAAATTAATAAACAAAATAATTTGTTTATTAATTATTTATTAATTTTCATGTGATTTTATAAATTGGACCCAATTGGAATTTCTTTATTGACAAAATAAAATGAATTTAGGTCGTAAGAATTTTTTTTATAAAAATTGTTTATAACAAATTAATTAATTAAATTAATTATTAACAATACGATGGAAAAAAAAATAGAGAAAACTTTGCCCTTTAAAACGGTATTTTATTCAAGTCTCTACGACTTTTAGTTCCGAAAATATTCCTATGTAAATGAAACAGGTTTATGTTAACCCACTAACCTATATAATTTCATTCATCTTGGCCCAATGACACACTGACCTATATAAATTTCAAGAATTTACGCATGGCCTACTACTACTACTACTATTACTACGATCAGCTGTAGTATATAAATTATGAATGAAAATCTTTCGAAGTAGATATCTTCGGAACGAAAAATCGTAGAAACTTGAAACCAATGCCATTTTCAAGTATAATTAATTCTTTATTTATTTAAATATTGCAATGATATTGTTATAATAAAATCAATTTTGTTAATAATTTTTCAAATTGAAATTTTTTCATTTTCTTTTGTATTAAGGACATACCTATGATGAAATTATTAAAATTTTTATTATAATTATATATATTTTATTTTGTTTATTTAAAATCAGCGCTATTACTAATACTATTACTATTAAATATGAACAGCTGTACTATAGGAATTACGAATGGAAAATAATATCTTCGGAATGAAAAGTCGTAGAGAATTAAAATCAACATCGTTTTCGAATATAATTTATTTTTTATTTATTTAAATATTGCAATAATATTGTTATAATAAAATCGATTTTGTTAATAATTTTTAAAATTGAGTTTGTTACATTTCTTTCGTAATAAAGAAGTATTATTATAATGAAATCATTTCAATTTTTTATTATAATTATGTAAATTTTATTTTGTTTATTTAAAATAAATAAAAATATTTAAATTGTAATATCTCTTAAACTAATAATTTTTGAACGATACATTGATAATTGAGAAAATGTCAAGCTACATCAACCAATGTAAACAAAAACATATGATCTCATTTATACAAATATAATTGATCTTTATATAAGAGAGACCTTCACGTGTCTATCTGTAAAAATATTATTACTGCCATATATTCTTCATATCTCTTAAAAAAACGAAGATATTCAAGGTGGTCAATGTTATTATCATACTTTCAATATATACGTATATTATTATTATTATTATTATTATTATTATTATTATTATTATTATTATTATTATTATTATTATTATTATTATTAATATTAATATTATTATTATTATTATTATTATTATTACTATTATTATTATTATTATTATTATTATTATTATTACAGAATGTATAATATTAGACGCTTTTTATATTAGCAATATAAATAAATTAAATTATTCGCCTTTGAAGAATTCATTCATTTTATTTTTTTCATTTTTCTTAATTTTTCACTTCGACTCGCACAAACTAATGGCGCAAAGAAATTACTAATCGATATAAATACTAACAAATGGAGTTCGCTTTTTTGCTTCACATGTGATATAAATTCATGAACAAAAAAATGAAATAGACGTATATAATGAAAAACACAGAGAAACGTTAAATTTTATGATCTTTTTTATTTCTGAAACATTTTCTTCCTAACATTTCCCGAATAAATTGCTCCAACAAAGTGGTTAGAAAGTGGTTTATTTGTGGGCTCGAATGAACGGAGAATAATAGGTCAAACGTTATGGGAAGACTAATGGAATTAAACGATTAACCGTTACTTCATCCTTCTCGTCACTGCTACATTGTTAAATGTTAAGGAAAGAAAAAAAAAAAGAGAAAAAAAATAAAAGAAATAAACGTCTAATTATAGCTATGCGCATCTCTGCAATTATGCATTTATCGTATCTTTCGTATCTTTAATCCTCAACGTTTATCTTCCCGTTTATCTTGAAAACTTGTGGCCAAACCCATTAATTCCCGTTAATCGTTCATTCAATTTCAAGAATCAATCAAGATAAAAGATAAACAGTTTATTAACTTTAACATCCATACTGTGAGTAGAAAACATGTGAACATTCACGTGTGTGTGTGTGTGTGTGTTTGTATATTATTTTTCCATCCATGCAAGCACTTCACCGTAAACAACATACACATTACTATAGTCGAAAATAATTCATGTCAAAATGTTTAAATTGTAATGGTAAAACAACAAAAAAAAAAAAAAAAAAAAAGAAGAAGAAGAAGAATAAAAAAATATATAACAAAAATTCGTTTATTTATTAATCAATTTAAAATTTAAATATATCTACCTAATAAGTTCTTATAGTAAATAACTCAATTAAAAGTTGAATTAAGAAAATTCCCATCAAAATATATGATTAAAGTAAAAGAAGATTCTAGTATTTATAAATTAAACCATACGCCATGATCCTTTTCTTGTATATTCGTAAGTAATCCTTGAACTTTCCGAGAATATATATATATATATATATATACTCACGCCTTTTCACAAAATTAGTAAAAAGTAAGAAGAGCATCCAGGAATCTCTCTCTCTCTCTCTCTCCCTTTCTCACTCTCACTCTCTCTCTCTCTCTCTCTCTCTCTCTCTCTCTCTCTCTCTCTCTCTCTCTGATCGTTGAGAAAACGACGATAGGGTCGCGTGAATCGGGTCAATCTCGATTCTCTCGTCGATGGAATTTTAATGGTAAGGAAAAGCAAGTATATACGAAGAGAAGTTTAGACACGAAGGTCAGCGAAGCGAATACAGAGAGAGAGAAAGAGAGAGAGGAAGAGAGAAAGTGAGAAAGAGAGGGAGGGAGAGAGAGAGAGAGAGACTAGTATTTGATATGTTTTTTCCAAATTTTTTTGGAGGTGTATGTCACTTTCAAAATCGATATCTCGAAAGAGTCGTTATACGCATTTTATACGACAACAAAATGCGATAGTAAAGATAGAAGACGTATTGTAGGATTTATTGAAATAAAACGTGACAATAGAGAGTAAGAAAGAGACAGAGGTAAAAAAACAAAAGAGAGAAGGAGAGAGAGAGAGAGAGAGAGAGAGAAAGAGAAAAGGGAGAGAAAGGGAGAAAGAGGCTTCTTTAGTAAGACACTGGTGGTGGTCCGTTCTTGGGGGTGTGCGGGGGTGGATCAATAATGGAATGGGGTTTGGCTGGGATTTCTCAGCGCCATCCTGCTATACGATTTGGAACTAATAACTGTTGCTTCATTTCAAGCCCTTTTCTTTGTTTCATTATATCATTTGAAGGCTAACAATGCAATTTGACAATTTTGTAATCAAATATTCGTCTTCACTTCAATCTCTTTCTCTCTCTCTTTTTTATTTTTTACCTTTGTCTCTCTTTTACTCTCTCTTGTCACGTTTTATTTCAATAAATCCTACAATACGTCTTATTTCTTTACGATCGCATTCTATTGTATAAAATCCGAATAACGACTCTTTCGAGATATCGATTTCAAAAGTGATGTACACATCCAAAAATATCAAATACTAGTCTCTCTCTCTCTCAATATATATATATATATATATATATATATATATATATATATATATTTCTCTTTATCTCTTCGTCTCTTTCACTTTCATCCACATCTCTTTAAAACGTCATATAAATATTCTTTTATAAGAGACTCGTGAGATTGTGATTTCATGCTTGATCGTGAACACTTCCTCCGATATGATTGACTTTTTCTAACGATAAAATTTCTGCTTTCTCATTCTCTCTCTCTCTCTCTTTCTCTCTCCCTGTTTCGTTACTTCAATGATAAATTATATGGCCGTTCATATCTCTCTGGATCATTCATACGTCGAACATTATCACGTAACGTAGATACGTTTGAAAAATCAGCTAAAAATATATTCTTCCATTCACATTTTCGATTCGATGGTTATATTAGTGATGATCTCTTGCGTAATATAATTGCGGAAAAGCTTAGGGGAAGAAAAGAAAAAAGAGGTAATATAGATACCCTTTCCCCGTCGGTGACCGTAAAGCCAAGTCAACGAAGTTAAATTTTAACGTGAAAATCAATGCACGTCGTGCAACCATACGTAAGTACTTTACCGTGTACCTGTCTGTATATCAGAAAGATAGAAGGAGAGAGAGAGAGAGACAAGGAAAAAGAAGAAGAGAGGGAAAACTAATCGGGAGCAAGATAATAAATAAAAAATAAACCACTTTGAAATTGTACAGAAATCTTGTATACATAAATATAGACATATATATATATAGAAAACTTTTGTACTTACTTTTATATACTTTTTAATACTTTTTAATAATTATTTTTTATTTATTATCTTGCTCTTGATTAGTTTCCCCTTCTCTTCTTCTTTCTCTTTTTTTCTCTCTCTTTCTTTCTCTCTCTCTCTCTCTCTCTCTCTCTCTCTCTCTCTCTCTCTCTCTCTCTCTCTCTCTCTCTCTCTCTCTCTCTCTCTCTCTCTCTCTCTCTCTCTCTCTCTCTCTCTCTCTCTCTCTCTCTCTCTCTCTCTCTCTCTCTCTCTCTCTCTCTCTCTCTCTCTCTCTCTCTCTCTCTCTCTCTCTCTCTCTCTCTCTCTCTTTCTGATACATTTTTTTTCTTTACTTTGACGTACGTAGGCGTATCTATATTTGGCCAATATCTAAGATCCACGTACTCAACGAAGCTTCAATTTATTTACGAACTACGATCATTCCCTTAGAAGATTCTTTCTTTCCTGTTTTTTTTTTTTTTTTTTTTTTTTTTTCTTTTTTTTTTCCCTTAACAAAAAACAGCACACCAACGCACGAAAATCCAATTTCTCGTATCTTAAATACTTGTACGTACAAATGAAATATATATATATATATATATATATATATATATATAAACAAAAAAAAAGAAAATAAAAGAAAAGATCTATTGGAAATCATTTGGGGTCCCTTTGTATTGTATTAATATATTGTATATTTGATTTATTTGAAGCAGTATGTTATTCGTCGATATTGTTATCGATAAAAGACGAATTAATTTTGTACACTTTTAAATCTTTCTTTCTTTTTCTTTTTTTTTTTTTTTAATTTTTGTCTATCTTTCGATATTTTTCCCCATCTCTATTTGTATTTTATTTTTGTTTCAATTTTTTTTTTTTTTTTTTTTTTTGATTTTCTACTTTGATATATATATATATAAAGATGGGAAAAAATATCGAAAGATAGAGAAAAATTAAAAAAAAAAAAGAAAAAAAGATTCATAAATATACAGAATTAGTCAGTTTTTTATCGATAACATACTACTTCAAATAAATCAAATATACAATATATTATATTAATACAATACAAAGAGACTATAAATGATTTCCAACGGATCTTTCCTTTTGTGTTGTTTTTATTTTTTTTTTTTTTTTTGTATTTTCTTCTTAACACAATGCTCCTAAATAACATTACCCAACAATGGCAGCATCTTGATCTTATTTATGAGGTAATCGATGAAAACCTGAACAAACTCGCAGTGTTCATATATAAAATAAAATATCCCGAAGTAGAACAGATATACCGTTGTGATGTGAATGATGTACATTCTACAAAAAAGAAAGAAAAAAAAGAACAGAAATAAAAATGAAGAATAAAAGCAATAAAAGAAAAGCGAGAGAAAGAAAGAGAGAAATAGAGAAAGAGAGAAAGAGAGAAAGAGAGAGAGAGAGAGAGAGAGAGAAAGTGTGTAGATAACGATTATAGAAAAAAAGAAAAGAAAAGAAAATAAGAGAAAAAGAAACAGATGGATTATGAGAAGATAGAAGATAGAAAATAAAAAAAAAAGTTTTTTTCTGTATCGATGATAATATTTACATTCTTTGATGAATGCGTGCTCTCGGTAAAGAAGATAGATCCTCTTTCATGCAATATTGCCTCGCACCCAATATAATAAACTTCATGTACTCTAACATGTCGACATTCGTTGTATCAAATTGAAATAGTTCCCTATCCTTTGGACTCATGTCACCCCATAAGATCAATAGATTCATATTGTGAAAGATCCATTTTCGCGTGGTGAAATATTGAAGGAAATCGAGGCCGTTTGAAATTTTTTTTTGAATATGTACCATGCTGTAAAAAAATAGACCAGAAAAATAATATAAATAGATGAGGGAAAAAAAAATTAAAAAAGACGAATAAAAAGAGAAGATCCATCGATCGATCCTCGAATCTCAAATTTACTTTTACCATTTAGAAATAATAATAATAATAATTATTATTATTATATTATTATTATTAATTATAATATTAATAATTAATAATTATAATATTAATAATTATATTTATTATTATTATATAATAATTAATATTATAATAATATTAATAATTATAATTATTATTATTATTATTATTGTAACATAACATTGATCGATATACTTTGAATACGATGTTAATATTAATGATTACATATTAATACAAGTCATTTATTGGTTTTTTTGTAAATTAAGCTTTCAATGTGTATTGTAATGAGAACATATTAAATTATGTTATATTATTATCAGATCAAAGTTAATAAACTTTCTTTCCTTTTCTTTTTTTTCTTTTCTTTTTTCTTCAAATTTTTGTTTAAACTTTTAAATCGTATTGTAAAACAATAACAATAAATTATTTAAATCACATAATAATTAATACAAATTTAAAATGTAATACGATAATGTTAAAGATAAATATTTACTTACAATCTTTTTTGACAAAATATTAACATCAGGAAGTCGATTAGATAAGCCGGTATAATGTGAAAGAAAAAGACAAACAAATTATGAATGAATTTGTTGTTCCGTATATTGCCGTCCGGATACCATATCTGTCCTTCGAAAGGATAATCATAAATAATCTCTTTTCCCTTCTTTAAAATTTGACCCCATGTCATTCGGTCCATACTTGTCTGGGTAATATTGTAAACCGGACAGTTTTTCAATCTGTATAAAATAAAAAGTCATCGTTGTTATTTTACTTTTTTTCTAACATCTACGTCAAACAATGCCTTTGCAGTATTGAGTCCATTCATCAATTTTTTATATTTTACATGAAAGATTTGTGTGCTTGTTAACGTGATAGGGGAAAAAAAAAAAAGAAAAAAAAAAAAACAAACGGGAATAACGAAAGGAAAAAAGAGAAAAAAGATTGCATAACCCATCGCGATGAATTGTTTATCGTATCCATATATATGTCAAATTATATTTAAAAATTGAATTTAATGTATCTACTTACTTGTTACGATCTATGCTTATCTTATATGCTATCACGATCAATGCATTAATTGCCCAGTCAACGGGTATAACTTCGGCATGATAATTAGGGTTACAATGCATCGACCTAATTACACCTTTCCCAGCACCAATAATGATACCTATTGGCCCGTTCAAATTATCCACCCAACCTGGTAAAGGTTCACTGACAGCCGGTAAAACTGTAAACATCGTTGTCCCTTTTAATTTGATCTAACGTGTCTCTTCATTTTTATTTTTTTCTTTTTATTATTATTATTATTATCATTATTATTATTATTATTATTATTATTTAATGTTAGATTTTTAATAGTACTAATGATTAGGCAAATTTCAAATTTTATTGATAACTTAATATCATTTGATTTCGCACAGAGAAATGATAAATATTATCTTTTAAACAATTTATATTATCTTTGATCGTATATATATATATATATATATATATATATATATATATATATATATATATATATATGATAGAGATTAATGTCGTACAAACAAATGCATCTAATATTATGACAAGTTTTAGTAAAAAAATTTTTTACTCTTTTTTAATTCTGTTTATTTTAGATATACTATAGATCGCCAATGTCTGTACACCTAGTGTTAAAAAAAAAAAAAAAAAAGAAAAAAAAAGAGAGAACAAGAAAAAAAAATAGGGGAAAAAAAGCAAGCGGAAACAAAAGCGGATTTTGTAACGAAGAAAAAAATATTTCTCACAATAAATGATAACTCTGATTGTTCAATCATTCTCATAAATGAAAATCATGAAAAATAGCACTTACATATGTACGTTTTTATACATACATATATATATAATAACCATACAGTATTATAACATCTTCATCTCATTTCTATTCATGATACGTGTATATCAATATGTATATCAATTTTTTAAAATGTTTGTATATAACATAAATCAAAAAATCTACAAAATATATAACAAAAATTCAAATCTATATTTGTACATAACTATGTGTGTGCGTGTGTGTGTGTGTACGTATAAATATATAAGGCTTTTCAAAGTGTATCACATATCCGTTTGTCAATAATTTTTGCTTGACCACGCGTGATGATATATATATATATGCATATATAATATAAATGTCGAAGGATCGATCGATCTGCACAAGGCTGTCTTTATAATACACGATCGAAATGATCAAATAACCTTTCCTTTACTTGGCATTGTCCTTTATCAAAATTCTTATCATTAGATAACAGGTCATCCTTTCTAAGTTCATAAGATCGAAAAATCGATTGTATTAAATATTAATTATATTTACCAATGGAAGGTCTTGTTATGACAACTGGCATATGGGGATACTCATCAGCGACCAGTTTCTCCGATAAACATTTCGTGTACGTGTAAGTATTCGGATGCGGGGCTATTAATCTGCGATCGTAAAATTACGAAATAAAAACATTTACGTATAACGGCATTATAATAAATTTTATTCTATTGGACGTGTAGATAAGAAAAATAAAAAAAAAAAGAGGGAAAAAAGAGAAAAAAACAGAGAAAGAAAAATTCTGCATATAAATAATAGAATATTATTTTCGATATAAAAAATATTAACTTATGAAATTACTAAGTATTTTCAATAAAAAAAAAAAAAAAAATATATATATATATATGTATATTAATACTGCTTATTTATTACTTATTTTAAAAGAGAGAAAGAAAGAAAAAAAGAGAAAGAGAGAGAAAGAGAGAGTAAATGTGAAATGAAATAAAATTTTAAAACCGATTTAAGCTGTCCATCGGTTTAATTAATTACTTAGACGTGACGAGATTGACAAGGTCTTCCTCCATCCATTGAACAAATCTTATGACGTCCTGAGAATCACTCGGCGAATCGTAAACTCGTTCACCGAGCTCCTTTTGATCAACATGACAGAAGGCCGTACTCAGATGCACGAATGCCTCCAGCTTTTTCATAGCCTTGCCAAGTTCCAATACTCTCTTCGTGCCGACCTTGAAGATTAAATCCAACGTCATTCAACATCCCTGACTAATTAAATAATCTGCAAGCATTTTGAATTATTTCAAATCTGCACTATCACCACGTATCTTTTCAACTTTAAATATTTTTATTAATCTTATTGGTTAGAAGGAAGAAAAAATAATAAATAAAAAAGAAAAGAAAAAAATAACAAACGTGAGATCGTTATTATAATAATACCAATGTGATACCATGACATACATCCATATTTCAAATGTAAATTAATATCCAAAGGTTAATATTTCCCAATCACACGTTATAATTATTATCAGTATAGTATACTTCAATTAGTATAAATTTTATATATATATATATACAATATTTTCTTGTCAGAAAATTAAATGTTAGTTAATAAAATAAAGATTAATGTTAACTTATTAAAATATCTTACATGTAGTATAATTTATAATAGTTTACATTACAGTATAATTTTTGTTTATTATAATTTTTCGCAAAGACGAAGAATAAAAATTGGATAATACAGAATTAAAAAGAAAAAAAAAGAGGATGAAGAAAGAAAAAAACATATTTATAAAATCGATCGATTTACCATGTTAGATTCGATGGCGTCCTTTAATTTAGCTTCTAATCTAACCGCGGCTGCTAAATTAAAGACGATTTGAGTTTCATTAATTAAACACTCCCGTTGTTCATCGGTGAGACCGAGATTGTTCAATAAAATGTCTCCAACTAAAGGTATCACTTTTTTTATAATTTCCGGCTTTTCTTTTCGCACTCTTAAGAACAACTGAAATAATACATATCTTTTAATAAAGGAAATCAATTTAATAGAAGAACTTAAATATCTTTTAAAATAAATAAAAAAAGAAAGAAAAAAGAGAAAAGAAAAATTGTAAATATTCGTAAATAAATTAAAACCCACCGGTAATTTGAACATATTTTCTATACGCGAATCTGGACTGTGACCTCTTTTGGGCCTTATTAACATATAAATTTTATCAAGATTGTCACAGGCATACAATAATTTCTCAATAAGAACCTTTCCCATGAAACCGGATCCTCCAGTAATAAATATAGTCTTGCCTTTATAAAACGATTGTATCTCGCTACACTCTTCCATGATTTTTCTTTTCTATTAACAAAAACATCGTAAATAGTAATTCAATCGAGACGTGATCATCATTAGAAAATTTGCAAAAATTTTATATCGCGAGTTTATTTTCACAACTATTTCTTAATTTATTATACGATATTTCAAAAGCATAGAAATATCCTTGAATCTCGAGAAGTTCTGAAGATTTCCATAATGAAGTAATACGAATTTTTGCAAATTTCTCTTCAAGTATAAGCATGTAAAAAAAAAAAAAAAAAAAAAAAAAAAAAGACAATTCATGCTATTCTAATCACTACTGGGAATCTTTAAAAGCGATAGTAACAAGTGCAATAGTATTTCCATCGAGAAGGTCTAACAGTAAATAGGTGAAAGTATACCTTGAAAGTCTAGAAGGAGACTGGTTCTGTGTATAAGTTAAATCAAATGAACGATCTTTAGTACTTTGCGTATTGCATTCATGGACAAATTCTTTTTCAATCAGTCAATAAATATTTAACATTAATAAATTTCTCTATTTTTATTTTATTATCTAAATAATAATAAGAGAAAATTCATATAAAAATTATATTATTCTAATACTATATTATTAAATTATATTATCTAATAATATTAATTATTTTTATAGCAACTTTTTTATCTTCAAAAATAAATTAAAAAAATATATATACTATTTGTAAAAATATTTGAAAATATTCAATTAATCGTTAATTATTTGCCATATCATGATCACATAATCGTAATCACATTTTGATCAAGATTAATATTGAAACGATGAAATAAAAATTCAATGATCGTTTTTCTTCATTTCTTCGTTTGTAAATTAATCCGTTTCATGATACTAATTTCTAATTATTCAGGAAAATTTCTTGCACGACCAGAATCATCAATCTCTCTCGGTAATAAACAAAATCAACATTCTACAGGTCGATCGTATATCTCAATTTTAATGGTACATGAGTATGTTGGTGCATATTACATATCGACTTCATACGTGTATGTACTCCATAAATGACATCGTGAATGACAACGTCGACCCATCAATAAATTTATGGTATATACATACGCTTTACGAAAGGACATTTAAATCCGCTTTTAACAGAGAGAAGATAAACAATGACAGGATGTTACGAACCTGTTTGTCAAAAAAAAAAAAGAAAAGGAAAAAAAAATAATAATAATAAATAAAAAGAAAAGAAATATCTGAAATAATTAAATCATTTGATATCCTATACAATATTAAAATATGTTTGTCAATTCTTTCGTGCAAACATTCAAACAGAACGCACATTTTCCAATCTCTTATTTCAAGAATTTAAAAAATTTCCAAATTATTTTAAAACATTTTTCTCAAATCATTGTAAATAAGATAATATCTCTATAAACAATGTAATTTTAAATTTACGAAAATGCACTCGATTGCTCTTGACGACCGATTAATCTCGGTTAAAAAATATTACATGTTTGTAAAGCAAAATGAAAACAAAAAGGAATAGAATAAAAAAAGGAAGCAAAACAATGCAGAAAAAAATAACGATATATCGTAAAAAATACAATCGGTCAGGATTACATTTGTTTGTGACGTTTTAATAAAGTCAATCGTGAAATCTAATAATCTAGTATCCATTAACAATGAGATTATTATATTTTATCGTAGAAAGAACAATCACTCTTTATCTCTCCCACTCTCTATCTCACACATATATATATATACATGCAGGCACGTACAAATTTATTACTTGCATTCAACTTTCTTACCTTTTGCAACAACGAGTTTCCTTAAAGAGATAAGAAAAAGTATTTTCTCCGATACGAAATTATATTCGATCTTAAAAAAGAAAAAGAAAAAAAAAAAAGAAAAACACGTGAAAAAAATTTGTACGATCTCACACGTTGGCCTTTCAAGTGAATAATATTGAATACGGACGAGCGTAGAACAGTGAACGACACAGAGTTCACGAGCTCACTGAGCTCCTGAGTAGACTCCAATGAACTTATGTATGTATATTATGTTAGTACTATATCGTTTTTACAAGCTAAATACTCTTACATACACGGATATGTTTATACGCGTTTAACCTCTTCTCCCTCCCCCTCCCTCTTTTCCCATTCCCCCGTAATGTTGAAATAATTCTAAGAAAAATAATAAAAATTTCCTAAATAACATTCCGTTTTTTCCTTTATCATTTATTTATATGTTCATGTATTAATTTGGTCTGTATTTCTTTTCATTTCTTTTGTCATAATCAATTTATATATTCTCGTAAAAAATAGGAGACCGATCTTTGAAAATGATATTCTATGCTCGAGAAGAAAAAAAAAAAAAAAAGCAAGAAAGAAACATTTCCTCTGTTATTAATATTAAATATTCAATCAATCTTCTTTTATTATCTGACTAAATTATACTTAAGTAGCGGAATCGATTAAAAAAAAAAAAAAAAAAGAAAAAAACAGAAAAAACATTCTAAATAATGAAAAACATTTGAATTATTTGTAATTAATGCAAATGTTCTTTTTTTCTTTCTTCCTTCCTTTCTTTTTTTTTTTTTTTTTCCTTGTTAACGAGCTTGACAAAGTCAATGAATATATATGTTAGGAAAGATATTGTCAAGAAAGAATAATTTAATGCGTTCTCCTTTGATGCCATGCACTTTTCAATTCTAATTGGCCTCCGTATGCTTATTGCTAAAATAGAAAGCCGAGACTATCGTATGCAATAAGTCGTAACTCTATATACATTAAATATATATATGTATATATACATACATATATGTATGCGTGCGTGTGTGTGTGTGTGTGTGTATGTACTTTAAAAATATTACCAAACTTATTTACATCTTTTTCCTCTTCCTCTTCTTCTTTTTTTTTTTTTTTTTTTTTTTTTTAATGAAAAAAGTAATATTTCCAGATGCATTGAAATTCCATTAGAAAAGACATTAGAATTGCAAAATGATAGCGTAAAATTTGATGTTATGTAAATCCGGAATAAGTGAACGAATTTCATTGCTCCATTTACTTTCGAAATATACATTAACATAATATATATATATATATATATATATATATATATATATAAACATACATACAGAGAGAGAAAGAGAGAGAGAGAGAGAGAGAGAGAGAGAGAAAGAGAGAGAGAGTATAAATCGCAATTAAATATACTTTTATTTCCTCCCACCTAGATAAATCTTCAAATTGACTTTACGTTTCAAGGAATACAATTTCGACTTTATAAATAAGACGATACTTAAATACAGTAATCAAAGTATCACAAAAGAATATTTAATATTTAACCTACTTCTTTAGTCCTTTCGAACGATAATTATAATAATTATATCTCTATGATTATCAGAATTTCTAATGTGATTGAAGAAAAATTGTATCTATGTAAATAAAAATGAATGAATAAAGATCAATGAATCTATCGAAAGTATGTAAATAAAAATGAATGAATAAAGATCAATGAATCTATCGAAAGTATGTAAATAAAAATGAATGAATAAAGATCAATGAATCTATCGAAAGTATCTCTATCCTTCTCTCTCTCTCTCTCTCTCTCTCTCTCTTTTTTTTCCTTTATTTCTCACTATTTTTTTATTTCTCTTTTTCTCTTATCGTTCTATATATATACGAGATACATTTCGTAACGCAATGACACATCGACGCTAAAAAAATATTAAGGGTTATTAGCATACTTCAAATATTTTATGCAAATTTGTAATTTTTGTAAAAAAAAAAAAATATATATATAACTTAAAAGTTTATCATTTTATATATATATATATATATATATATATATGCGCATTTATACTTTAACTATTAACGAGTTAATATTTATCCAACTCATTTACCTAGATCAAACTTGTGTTACGAAATAAGTCAAATATTCTAAAAAAATTCTAAAAGCATGTACGTTCGAAGAAAAATATTAAGTTTCTCTCGATGATATAATATTATTTAAATACAATTTAACTTATTATTAAAAAAAAAAAAAAAAAAAAATATGACCGTTCATGGTTACCGTTTAACCAGACTTCCGATTACTGAACGAACAAAACGTTCCCTTTCACTTTATTTCTTATTGCTATTGTTTATTGTTACTTTCGCTTTTTCGTACGACCGTTCGTTCTCCCACGTGTTCAGTAAAAAGAAGAAAAAAAAAAAGGAACCGACGATAAGAAAGAGAACAAATAAGGAAAAAAGCAAAAAAAGAAAAAGCAAGGCTATCATAGAGCGCCAAATTTATACTTTTTTTTTTTAATACACTTACAATTATATTCTTTATGGTGACTTCGAAAAACGTGTTCAAATAAATTTTTCTTTTTTTTCCTCTTCTTTGTTTTCTCTTTTTCTTCATCTTTTATATAACTATCTTATAAATGTATTTGGAATACTTAATGAGTCAAGAATATGTAATCGTTGTTAACGATCGATCAACGATGTCGGTTGATTACGTTACAATGACATTTTGACCTCATAAGAAAGACAAATGTAGTTTTTGCTGTACTTCTACATAAACAAATGTAAGCGTAGAAAAAGTAATCTACGTATAAGCGACAAAAGTATTACGTAATCATATATTATAATAGAGCGTATTATAATAGAGCGAATACAGTGATATAAATTTATGAGTACAATAATACAAATATACTAATCGAATAACGAAATAAATAATAAATAATAAAAAATACTAAACATATAAATGTGTATTAAAAGACACGTCAAACTTTAAGATTTTAGAATAATTATATAATAAAAAAAAAAAAAAAAAAGAAAAAAAAATGAACTACCGTCACGTATTTACACATTGTCTGATAAAGGAAGTTTATCCTCGATGACATCGATCGAAAGAAATATATATTTATATATATAAAAAAAAAAAAAAAAAAAAAAAAAAAAAAAAAAAAAAAAAAAAAAAAAAAAAAATTGTTATTTGGATCGTAAAGAGTATTTTTCAAAAAATTAAAAACATTCAAAAGAAAATTAATTATGATGAATATTTAATACGACCGACATTTATTAAGAAATTAATTATTTTTTTTACGTTCAATTGTTCTACTATCTTATAAGAAAAAATTTGTCAATGGTTTTATCTATATATATATAAACATATATATAAACTGAATATATATATATATATATATTAAATATATTAAAAAAAAAACATTATAAAAAAAAAAGAGAAAAAGAGAAGTGCAGTTCATTAAATTACGACAAAAAAAATCCATAATAGATATAGTGTATATACACACACACATATATATATATATATATGTATAATGCGAATAGAAACTCACGATAGAAAGGATTTCTATCGTAAATCTCGTATATATAGTTTTCTTTTTTGACATCATGCTCGTGATCATGCAAGTGAATTTTTCATTCCACATCTATACTACAGTTACGTCCTACTGTTTCCTAGATTCACTAACTTTCGCTTATGGTTTCAGCCAAATTAATAGCGCTTTTATACAATGTCGAAAAGATCATCGGTTAAGTTATAACTTAATTAAATTCTCGTTATAACTTTTACTTACTATTATATATACTTAATTAAGTCATTAGACCGTCATAAATTTTATTATTCCGTATACTTAACTAACTCATTAAATCGTCGTAAGTTTTGTCATTTAACTTCTGTTGTATTAATGCATGTATTTTATATGCTTCCTATTATATTATTCACAGTACGCAGATCCTCTTCTCGGCCCTCCATGGAACATTTCGATCAATAAGCTATTATTTAATAATTAAAATAAAAAATAATTAATTTAATAATTATTAAAAAAAAAAAAAGAAAAGGAAACAAAAATCCAAAGTTGTCGAAATAAATTTTTGAAATGATCATTAAAACTACTTGTAGAAAAATTAAAAGCGTAATCTTTAGTTAATACATATATTTTTCATAATATGAATTATTCATTGAATTAATTAATTAACGATCGAACGAGTGTATTTGAACTGTAATAACATTTATATCTCCCATAAGATAGGAAAAAAAGAAAAAAAAAGCATGATTTTACGTTAGATGATCCCATAAAAACGTAATCTTCGTTATCCTCTTACGTCGCTGCAAATCATATTTCATTGCCATCTATTCTTGCAATTAAAGTTCATGACGTCAAATATAAAAGGTCTTTATCATACATAAAGCATATAATCGATGATCATTCAACTCATGTTAACTTCGCGTGAAATAACGTAAATATATATTTTCATATACAATCGACATTTATTTTTCAATCAACAAAATACGAGCTAACGAACAATCATGTAAAAATACTGTAATTAGATTTAATTATTCCTACTACCTAAAATTTTCATATAATATTTTTTGTGTAATAAATTGTGTAATAAATTTTGTGTTTTATATATATATATATATATATATATATATATACATATATTTTTTTTCTTTTTCTTTTTTCCTTTTCTTTTCTTTTAAAATAAAAATAATTATATGATGACAGATTACCATAAAAATACAATGTAATTATAAAAGGAAGATGTATGGTATTATGAGTACCAGAAGGAGAAGTGTAGAAAGGCATATTAAAAAAAAAACACACAGGACTGTTATAAAGTGAAAGGGAGAAATGTTGTTGAAACGTTCGGAATGCCGTTTCGAAAGCACCTAAAATCACTTAAGAGGAAAAATGAGAAAAGGTTAAAAATTAATATAGATCAATTTACGACTATTGACAAATAAATATTATAAATGTATATTTTATTATTATTACAAATAATAACTACGTATATCTATGTACGTATGAACGTATATACGTAAATAGAATATAGAATAGAAGCAAATAATAATTATTAAAATTTTTTTTTTTTTTTTGTTTGACAAATCACCACAAGTTGTTCACTTCGATGATAAAACATTAAAAATAGAAATTTCGTAATAACAAAAATATGTAAATGAGGCTTAGTTAACTTAAATACAATTTAATAATATATTTTTGTATTATCGTGTTACGCAAAAAAAAAAAAAATAAAAGGAAAAGGATATATTCAAATCCCCGCTCGATTAAAGTATGTCATTAACAATTGTCAAAGCGCAAGCGCATCGAAATCATAGTAAAGCTGACTCTAATGAAATTTTATATTGAGGATAAAAGAAAAAAACATATATATATACATGCATATATATATACATATATATATATATATATATATATGTATATGTATATGTATTAAAACTAAGAAACTCTAAATGTTTCTTTGCCCGATTAATGATATTTGTCATTTGAAAGCGCGTATATTGGCACTGTGTTAACGTCAATAATAGTGTGTAGAGATTCAATCTCTTTCAACGTTATATATATTGTATTATTATTATTTTGAAATTTCCAAAAACATGTCTTCCTCACATAATGAAAATATGATAGAAGAATTAGCAAAGGATTATGCAGATTATGCGAAAGTCAACTTGTCCGTTAAGGCGAGCAATATGTTTTATAACCTTTAAATCATGTAAACATATATAATCTATAATATACATATATCTCTAATTTAAATTTATTTCTTTATTTTTAGATGAAACAATTTCATGAAACAATAGAAGATGTTATGATACGTTTAGAAGAATTTCAATCAATTGTTGCAATGGTTAGAATGAGATAAAATTAAAACTATTTGATTTAGTTGATTATTAAATATATCTTAGTTATCTATAATATCATTTCCTTTTACATAGGTTCAAGCTGAAAGTTCAGAATGTATGAATGAACACATTCCAAGGATACGACATATGCAGAAAGAATTAGTAACACTTTGTAGAAAAATAGATGCACTTGAACACGTCCTTATAGCAGCTAATGTAAGTTTGACAGCATTAGAAACAGCTGTTGACACTGCGGAAGCTGAATTGGGTGTTACGGATAGATTTTTTGGTATTCTTAATCCATTATCTTTTTTTGTAAGTATAAATTGTATCTGACATTTAACAAGTAAGATTTTACTCCTTATATAGAATCTTCTTACAGAAAAAAAACCAAGAATCTGTGATAGGGAACAAACAGCAGCAAACATTTGAACCTCCAACAATTTACAGAACAGAAGATTATTTCAATGCGGAGTAAATTAATGTCTTCCATGACCAAGTGATTCTAAATTTAAACTTTTTTAAAAAGCAATTAGAAAAATTTACTTTCTATAATATGAACTTTAGATTTAAACATTTTTTTTTAGAATATATATGATTTACAATTAAAATTCCATGGCCAAAATTTTTATATTTATATTTTTATGTTTTTTCTTATACATTTCCTATAGCAAAACTATAAAATGTATTAAAATTGTATTTATTAATCTATCTATTTATTGTGAGTAATATTATTTTATATTAATATTATTATTATTATTGATATTATTTATGTTATTATTATGTTTTGATTAACCAAACATAAGATATTTTATCTTCAAAACTTTTCTATAATTTTATTATACAAATCATATTCTTTCCAAAACATTAGCTTTGATGATAAAAAGAAATTCTAGGTTATCTATATATTCTTCCAATAGAGAATTAAAATATAATGAAAAAAAGGAAAAATATTCTTTATTCATTGAAAGTTCTTAATAATAAAGTATTAAATAAAGATTAGACAAAATACAATAAGATAAAATAAATATAACCTTATTGACATATTCATTTTGATAGTATAAAGGATGGATAATTTTTATTCCAATAAAAAAATTTACGAGCAATGATATTCATTAGGAAGAACTTAAACGAATAATAATTGATAATTTATAAAATTATAATTACTTACATCTATTTCTTGACCGAATATAGACACTGATTAAAAATTAATAGTATCTTCTCTCTCACATTCCTCTCGAAATCCAAAATCATGTTATAAATTCGATATTGTGCTATGACTATGTCGAAACTTTTTAATGATCGACACTGGATAATCGATCTGAAAATTTAAAACATAGAGCAAATTAATTAAATGTCATATATTAATATGTCATAATTAAAATATTTCATTAATTAGATCATAATAAATATATAATTAATTATTCATATTATGGAAATAATGTAAATAAATAAATGCTATTAATGTATATATTGTATTATTATAAATAACCTTTATTTTCTTCTTTCCCTTTTGGTACCTGCAAAAGATTTGAATATTGTCTGTTCCATATATTTTATATAAATAAAATTATGACAATATATTATTTCTTATGTAATTAATAATTCCCTATGCATATACATTAAAAATTTTTCATATTATTCAATAATTATTATGGTCATATCACTAGTTTTATTATAATGATTATTCATCAAAAAGTATTATTAAGTATAAATATAAAATTATAAAATAATAGAAATTTTAATATGTTCAACAATAAACATGATAAGCATGAAAGAACATTAATAACTTGTTAAATTGTAAACACCTAATTACAGACTTCATTCCTTTGATTTTAATTTTTGTTAAAGCTTAATACCCAGCCAACTTAAGAAACCTTTATCGCACGGTCTAAGATGACAAGTCTTTATTTGTACTTTTTTTAATCCTTTAATGCAATCATCAGTTATGCAATGACGCCAACGAACTTGTTGTCCACATCCACATGTTACACTACAAGGGCTCCAAGTACCCCAATCGTCCCAATCATCTAAATCTAAAATAAAAAATATATTTAAAACCTTTGTATATTCTATTTTGCATAAAGCAAAAACAAAAAAAAAAACAAAATTAAATACAACACAATAGCAAATATATCATTTATATGATCCTTTCATTAATTTATATTACATTCTTTGTCAGGTTCTTCATCATCTTCATTATCACTCTGTTTTCTTTGTCGTAAATGATAATATTGAGATGTAATTGCTTTCACGTGTCTTTTCGAATTCTTTTTATATGTAGAAAAATATTCAGAAATATCTCGTTCACCATAAATAAGTAATTTTCGTTGATGATGATATTTCTCAAATGGACGAATATATTTTTGCAGTGTATAGGAATGTTTTGATTTTGATTTAATAAGAAACATCTGTAAGTATGATATATATTTTAAAGTATCCAATATTAAAAGTATTACTTTCTATTTTATTTTCAATTAAATTAAGAAAATATTTTCAATAAAATATTTGTCTAATATTATTCTTTATGAGAGCTTACTTTTTGCCTATGAGAAAATGTAAATTGATTTGTTAATGAATGATTAGATCTTTGTAACGTGCAATTATCTTTGACACAGACATTAATGTTCTTATATATTTTAGGTATACATTTCTTCCAAAATTTAATATCATCGAATTTATTTAACATAAGTTTATCATCTATACCCTGTAATATTACACAACTTAAACAATGCGTCAACAATAACGCAGAGAGCACTTGCATATCATGTTTCGTTCGTTCGTGCGATGCATTCGCGACTAAACATTCTATAAAAGTTGTAAGGTTGTTGGTAAGTATAACAGGTTACAAGTGTGAAACAAACAATAGTATGACATTATAATATTTCATTGAATTAATTATAGAGAGAAGTTATCTCTAAAAAAATCACAAATCACTTTGTTTTTTTTTCCATATATATTATCAACTTATATATTATATGTTCTACATATATATTTTAGATACAATATTAGATACAAAAATTTCTCTCAGGTGTAGCAAAATAAATAAATAAAACGCAAGAGAAAGAGAAAGAGAGAGAGAGAGAAAGAGAGAGAGAAAAATCGTAATTTTAGTATATAATATCATTTAATAAAAGTTAACCAAAAAATATAAAAAGACAAATCTTACGAATATAGCAAATTTTTTACATTATATAATCTCTTGGATATAAAAATCTTTTACATGTATGATAAAGTAATAATTATATTTATTTTTAAGAACACATGTTTTTTTTCTTAACGAGAAATTTTTATATATAGTTCAAAAGAATATTAAAACAAATATTATATTGTCCGCCATCTTTCCGTATTCCATAAAGTATGGTTATGTTAGCTGACTTCAGCGACATGTACGGATAAAATATGAATTACAATTGGGACGGGAAAATACTATCCCCCATTACTATTATATCATCTGTATATAAACTTACATAGTATGAGAAGAAATAATATTATCTATAATCTAAAGAATGCTTTATGTGCACGTCCATTTGGTATTTGACCCTGAAGTCTTAATCTACGAACTGCTTCCCTTAAATGTTTGGGTTGTAATGGTCCTGTTTCACCATTAGCTTCCATTACATCTAAAGCTACAATAATTTGTGATTATTAAATAAAATTATTATTTATAAACTTATATAAGATTAATGACTTTACCTTCTTCTACAATTTCACCAACAAATACTTTAGCAATACCTGACATTGCTATAACAACATTCTGTGATACAGAACAACCTGTTATAGTTTGCATAATCTGATATACAGAAAAGAATATATTATATATATAAATATATACATATATAATATTATTATAGGATATCATTATTTTATAATTTTTTATATTTACCCTCTTTATAGCTGCTTTTGGAAATGCAGCTCGCCTATACATTTCATATCTGTCTAACTGATCTTCCGTAAAATTAGAAACAAGTACTCTAAAACATAAAATTTGTAAAAAAAATGCTACAACAATATTTTTCTTGTATATATTTATAATATAAAACAAATATATTTACTGCATTTTCTCCCTTTCCTCCTCTTCTAACTCTTTTTTACTTTTTTCTTTACTTTCTCTTCTTTCTTTAATACTAGTGTGATTAACGTGAGGTAACATAATATCATTGCCAAAAATATCTTCTGTACTTGGTTCTTCTTCTTTATTTTCTATTTCAATTTCGTGCTTTACTATTTCCAATTGATCATCCATTGTCATACATATAGAATTAGAACCTACTTCTTCAGCGTCCGATTGAGATTGAGAACTCATAGCATCCAGTTCTCCCTAAAATAAATATACTGATTGTAACACATTGATTATATGAACTTATATCTTAATTTAATTATAATACTTATTATTATTATTATTGTTATTATTATTATTATTATAACCTAATAATAATAATTTACCTTTATTGGTAAACCATCTACGTCCATATTTTCAATATCCTTAGACGTTGTAGAATTTTGTGAAATATTAAATTTTTCATCTTTATCATCTATCTCAACATGCTCACTTTCATTTCCAGAGTCTTCTTTACCAAATAGGTTATCCATTTTCTAAAATATCATAATTTTTAACGAACAAACGTTCAAAAATATCTGATAAATTATTAGATAAAATATTTAGAACAAATTAAAATATACCTATTAATAATGTCAGATCTTATGTGGTATAAAAATTAAACATTTCTTCACTTATAACGTTTGTCTATTAAAAATGTTAACCATTAAATAAAAGCTATAAGCTTTGTAACTTTAAAAATTCAGAAACCGATTTAAATTAAGGAAATGAAATTCATACTGTAAATAATATGTTACGTATAGATTTAGTTTATCAGTTTGATATTAGTAAAATATTATTAGAAATAGATTGTTACGTTAATGTTATCAGGAATTAGAACAAAACATTTGTAAATATCTACAATATATATATATAGATACCTTACTTATCAACTATCGGTAAGTATTATTCGTAAATACGTTAGTTTTGATGTTAACCACGTGCTCTAACAAAATTCTTAAAAGAATTCTTATGTGATTTGTCGCATAGTTTTCACTTAATACTTTGAATGATTTGTTTGATCGATACGATAAATTTCATAGAAATAGATCATGTTTCAAGCAGTGATACAATCTACCGTATTAAGAAAAGTATCGAATAAATTATCAGCTAAAATTACGCATAACATTTTATCAAGACACATTTCAATTAACTATAAAAACAATGTTGGAGGTTATGATAAACTATATTCTACAAGATATATAAATAGTAAAAACAATTTATTATTTCATGTACCTCTTAATTTGTATAGTTCACAAGTTGATTATATGAACTTAGAGTAAGTATAAAAAAAATATATATATATATATATACATATAAACTGTAGGAAAAATATTACATTATACTAATTAATTTGTAATTTTTTTTTTTTTAGTAGAAATCTTACTCTTGTAGAATTTGAAAAGATTTCAGATACAACTCTTGAATCCTTAACAGAATATTTTGAGGATGTGATTGAAGAAGCTACGCATTTGGAAGATTCAGATGTTTCTTATGGAGTATGTAATAGAATATGGTTAATCTTATAAAAAGAGAAAAAATATATTCTTTATTTGTTAATATTAAGTAAACATTTATGATTTAGGATGGAGTATTGACTGCTAAATTTGGCAATCCATATGGCACATACGTTATAAATAGACAAACACCAAACAGGCAAATTTGGCTTTCTTCTCCGACATCCGGACCAAAACGTTATGATTTTGTAAAGGGTAAATGGGTTTATAAGTATGATGATAAAACTTTACACGAGCTTTTAAACGATGAAATATCATCTATTGTAAAAAAGAAAGTATGTTTTGACAAATGTTCTTACAGTGGTAAAGAATAATATAAAAATATCAATATACTGATATCAATATATTTTTGTGTATTAAGTATATAGAAACTGCCAATTTTAGAAAATAATTTATATTCATGTATGATAACGTATATTTACCAAATGGATACATAGTAGAATACCATAAATATGTTTACATAATATTTATGAAACTAAATTAGCAACTACATAAGAGATAATTCGATGAACATTATTGAAAACATAACATGTAAGTATTTTGAAAGATATTGTAATTATATTATGCGTTTAATTATTTACTTATTTATTTATAGTATAGTTCACTTTAAACAATAATATATATATACATATATATCAATTAGTATAAAAGCTTACGTAATTTATTTAACACAAGATCTATTTGTAATATTAAAACTGTATACTTATTTAAATGTAAATATAATAGTACTAATAAATCAATTAGAATATTTCCGATAAAAAGTTTTGACTTTTTTGATAGATAAACAGCCATGGAGATTATGGAAGATGGGAACTTAGTAGATCGCGTTAGAATTTTATTGCAACGGGACATGCAATATTATCAGGTAATAATCGAAATTAATTAATAATAGATCAATTTCTATTATTTTCGTATATTTGATTTTGATCAATCATATTTATTTGATAATTAACGAAATATGTAGGTCCATATTTATCATTTATCATTATTCCTTTTAAATTAATTAATCGGCTACCATCATTTTAATTCGTTCCGTTTTCCATTCGGCGCAATATGACTAAGACGAATTACAATGAAATTCAAATAAATACTTATTATTAAAAAATTATATAATACCAAGTACCTTTGGTTAATGCTAATGAGTTCGTTCATTCGTTTGTTCGTACGTACGTACGTTCGTTAGTTCGTTCGTTCGTTCGCTTGCGTAGGCGTTCCATACAATAATTATTTGAGAGATATAATTCCTCGAAGATGAAGCTTATTTTATTTACACATGTACATTTGGAAATCACTTATAAACGTGGCAATTAGTAAACCAAATATCCTTTGATATAATAAGTTCAACGTCATGGACAATAAATTATTGGATCGTAAAGAAGAGAAAAGAGAGAAAAAAAAAGAAAAAGAAAAAAAAAAAAGAAATCATATGCGAATACAGGGAAAGAAATTTCATCGGGAAAACAAAATGTTCGTTTCGTCTTTTATATACGAATATAAATTTTCGTGTATAAACAACCCCTAACTCGCTTCGTTAACAAAGGCTGTGCATTCAGACGTATAGCGTGTAATTAAATCAGCACGCTTTGCCATCGTTTAAATAAGATACCCTTATCTTCTTGTTAGTTTATATCTATACGTTTATGTTCAAAAAACTAAGACATTTAAGCTTCTGTGATTATCGTTGTTGTTGTTATTATTGTTAATATCTGCAAATAAATGCAAATCGATCGTTTAGATCGTTTTGTCAATGACGCGCATAATAAAGTAACGTTAACGTCAAATTAGAATTGAATTTGTAAACGTAAAATAGGAAAAAGTTTTTAAGGGAAATAAAGATTTCTTGTTTTTTTTTTTCTCTCTCTCTCTCTTTCTCTCTCTCTCTTTTTCTCTCAATAAACATTTCAAAGTACGTAGTTATTTGCGTGTGTAGGAGATGCAGACAGTACTGAGAGAAGCTTTGTGCATTCGCGTCAGCGGTGGAAAACTCGATTTTCCAAGGCACGCCTCGTTTGCAGCAATTAAAATAGTTATGTGGTGGGAGGCTGAATTTTTGATCACATTTAAAAAGCCTTCAGGATTAAGCAATGTCAAATGCAAAACTACAACGGAAATCGACACGAACGATGGAGTCGTTAAAAATATTCTACCGACCGAATTTGTTCATATGGTCGTCGATACAGCCGATCAATTGCTCGGTATATTTATCTAATATTTACATAAATTATTATTACAGAATTTTTCTATATTACATTAATTATACTCGATTATTTTTTTTTTTTTTTTGATACATTAATTATGTTTCCATCATATAATTCATCCCTTCTGTACATGACTTGTTTACAATACATGAATTATTTACAAAATTTCAGAATATAGAAATGGGTCGAGTATATAAGATACACTTTTGTTTTTTTTTATCACAGATTTGTGAACAAAATTTTCAAAGGATTTTTTTCTTTTTTTCTTTTTTTTTTTTTTTTTTTTTTTTTAAGAGAGAGAACTCATCCAGTTTTCGATTCATTTAATAAATCCACCAAAATAATTTCGGCTATAGCAATGCATCTCTTCCTTCTGTGAAAATTAATCGAATAATAATCATTTATATCGTAAAACGGATACAAATAATTTATTGTTATCGAATAAATTAAATAATGTTATTATGATCGATTAGATTAATTTAACAATAATCTTCTCTGTACGATCTATAAATATTTTCAGAACATTTGCATACGTTGATACAGGAGTGTCTGGATCATGCTGATTTGACCGTTCTTACGGCTACGTTAGGAGCAGCGGCATTGATAAAAAATTGTCTTTGGTGTTACAATCAGCATGTTAAAAATGTCGTCTCTACCGGAATAAGGTACTCTCGTTATAATCTTGGTCATTTTTTTTCTTTTTTCTTTTTTTTTTTATATACGCTTCAAATGCAATTGGTTTAATACTTTTTTCTTTTTTTTTTTTAATTTTTCCATTATCACACACAAAGCGAGAAAATAAATAATTGTTACAAGTCTTATCAAGAAATGACAGAAGCTGTCGCAGAAAGATTACTTGACTTACATTGCCGTTTAATCTCTTTATATATACTCAATGAAGCTGATTCTCTCGATTGGCATAGTAATAAGTCCTTCTTCGAAAAGGAAAGATGTTCTTTCGTAATACAAATGTGGTGGCTTTATATGCAAGGTAAATTGTAAACGTAACGAAGACAAAAAATAAAAATACAGAAAGCAAGAAGAAAATAAAAAAAATAGAACATAATAAAGATTTTTTTTTCGTATGAAAACTTGTGTTTAGGAACAAGAGCAGATTTATGGGAAACTGTACCCCCGCAAATGGCACAACGTGTATTTATGGGGATGTTAAACGAGTCTCTGTCTATCATCGTAACTCGATTTATTTATGTAAGATTGTTTAAAAAAAAAAAAAAAAAATATACAATCCGAATATTTTAAAATAGGTAAACGTTATCTTTCATTTTTATCTGCAACCCTGTTGTATGATGATTGTATAAAAAATAAATGTATATTATTTTTATTATGACATATATATATATATATATAAATTATTTTATTTTGATTATTTAATATATAGCTGTTTATTATATTTTTATTATTATATATACATATATGTGTTAGGGTCGACCTACGTTGGCTAGATCCGAACAATTTTGGACAGATGCATTCAACGTTCTCTGTTGCACTGGATATCTCACTTTAGCTGCCTGCACTGAGAGTGAAGAGATGATAGGTATCCAATCGAATAAATTACCAACTGTTATAAGGGATGTGCATGCTAAATGTAACGAGTTGCTCGTTTGCTTATTATTTCGTGGTACACCATTGGAAGATTTGTATCAGGTAGAAAATAATTTAATTTTATAAATCTAATTAAAATATTAATAATAATATATATGTATATCTTTTATTTTTTTTTCTTTTTTTTTTTTTTTTTAACGTTATATATTCTTTCCCAAATTTTCAATAAGCTCTCAAAGGTCATCGAATACGATTATTAATTGATAATTGCATTGCACGAACGTAAATATCATTAATTTTGAAAATGTTAAACTTCCAGAGGTCTATCGATTGAACTTTGTTGAGAATTTAAATAACGACTACTACTACATTAAACGCTACATTGTTGAATGTTGTATCGTGGTAAATGTCGATTTGTCGAATTGTCGATTGCTTATTATGCAAATATTTTTCAAATCGATTTCTCGTATTTCTATTTGTCTTGGTGCTTTGCGAGTTCACACTTCGAATATACTTTGCTAGTTCGTAAATTCAAAACAAAGTACTTAAATATTCTCAATTGTTTATGCATTTTATGTACACACATATGTATGTTTTAGAGTTAATCTTCTTAAATTTTAGGCTTATCGTAACGGATTGGAAAATTTACAAATATTACAACAACGACGTGGTCCTTCTCCTTGGATATTAATATGCGTTCCACATTTGTTAGGTAGATCTAATTTAGACGTACAGTTAGACGATCTAACCGAAGATAGAATCGTGATTTTGGAATTGAATATACTTAGGAATCAACCGCAGCCCAATTGGCCACAATTGATGAAAGTAATTGACTATTTTATATTTTTCGTTGTCAATTAAAAAGGAAAAAAAAAAAAAAGAAAGAGATCGTCACGAAATTTTCCTAATTCATTCAGGTGATATCAATGAACAATTACGTAGTCGCAAAGATGTTATTGAATATGTTGGTACGTAAATGCGTTGGCTTTACTTCCGATCAAAATTCCTTAATAATGAAAAAAAACGAGTCAACACACAAAAAAGAAAATAATAAAAACGAATTGTATAATGAAAAAAATTGCGGTGGATTTTTGTGCCAAGAATCGGGCTGTAAAAAATTATCAACGATATCACCGAATTTAGGTCTTTTCAGTCTGACGTATATTCTTGCTATTATCGTTAACGATCCTGAGGATGTAATTATGCCTGCTTTGAAGAAGGATCCGAATTGGGCTAATTATCTCGATAGGCAGCAGGTATTCATTAAAGATAACAATCTCGTGAATTATTTTCGTGATCACTGTTAAGTTTCATTTTCTTTTTCTTTCCTTCTTTCTTTTTTATATAAAGGTTTGGAATCAATCGAGACCACCATGGTTAAATGCACTTATGGTACCTTTGATAAGTACGATGTCACCAATAGTAGAGACCCTTTTGGATGCCGTCAAGGTAATTGTCGTATTATCGTATTTTTTTTATGGGAAAAAAAAGAAAAAAAAAAAACAATTATTTTTATAAGCTATCTATATAATTTGTATCATTTTAAATAAGACAGGTGCAAGCATATATCAGGCGATGTCATTAACGCTAACCTGTTTCACTGAATTACACGTTACCATACCAATGACAATTTTGCGAACATTATTAACTCTTAACAAAAATATACCAGCTCGGTGTCATCCTCTTGGTGGTTCCGTATTTCTTCAAATTTTCTCTGCTGCCTTATATTCAAGTTTTCTCGATATCGCGACAAACGATCAAACGGATATACAGAGCAAAACTTCAGTAGAAATCAACTTAGAGTCTGGCACATTTAATCCGCATGATAAAATAACTGCATCGAATGCACTTGCTGAAGCAATATGTAGCATCGACGAGGATAACAAACATACTGCACAGATCGATTATTTTACGCAAGTGATTGAAGACAGGTACAAATAATCGGATAATTCCTCAATAATAATAATAATAATAATAATAATAATAATAATAATAATAATAATAATAATAATAATAATAATAATAATAATCTAATAATGATTATAATTATTCATAATTATATTATACAATTGTTTGCATGGAAAAATAATAATAATTATTATTATTATTTAATGCAGTGTTAAAGGAACGCATCGAAGTTCTAAATGCGACAAATTAAAAGACATGACTCGTATCATAGAAACATACACCGACGAATTGTTGTTCACTGATACGGGAAGACAATCTTTAAAAGTTAGTTCTTATCTCATATAATTTTTTTTCTTCATCCTAATCAATAACTCTCTTCGTTTTATTAACAACAATTTTTTTGTTGTTATTTATCTTCTCCTTTTTTGTTTTTCTCTCTCTCTCTCTCTCTCTCTCTCTCTCTCTCTCTTTCTTTTTTTATCACACAGATAACACACGAGTATCTCCTACGTGCTTCCGATTGGGTGTTAAAGGGACTGTGGAACGAAGGGAGCAACCCACAGCCGGATTTAATCGATTTCTCCGAAATTCCATTGAAGGCAAAACCGCTAACCCATATCATGTTTCACATCGAAGATACTGATTTTGATCAGGTAGGCATTCGTGCGAATAGTAAAAGGCGATGGTATCCTGATTAGATGCATGAGAGGGCAAAAATTATAATACAGGTTTACTGGGTGTATTTTAACCACACGTGAGACTCCCTTTAAGTGCGTTAATACAAATACACATTCGATTGATTTATAAATAATTGTTGTAATAGGTAAGGCATCTCTTTTTTCTTTTTTTTTTTTTTTTTTTTTTTATTGTAAAAAGATTTAAAATTTTTGTAGAAAAATTAAGAAAAGAGAAAAAAAAGCATTCATAAGGATACGAAAAAATTTATATGTAAATTAACGTTTGATATCGTCTCATTTCAATTATAATCACTTTTAGATTTAGTGCATATATTAGTGCATATAATTCAAATTAAAAATTAAATTTTACAAAAAAAAAAAAAAAAAAAAAGAAATATAAGGGACTATTATAAAAAGATTACAAAAAACTTCGTGATAGAAAGAGAGGAAGAAGAAGAAGAAGAAGAAAAAGAAAAAAAGGAAAGAATTAAAAAAAAAAAAAAAAAAAGAAAAAAAAATACAAAATCGATTGTGACCTTGAAGAAAGATCAATTAAAATCATATTCGCGTGTAAACTTTTTCAATTAATTTTCTTACTCTCCTTTCTTCTTCTCTTTTTTTCTTTTCTTCTTTTTCTTTTTCTCTTTTTTTTTTCCTTAATATCACGCATTTAAGGAGTTCGCTTTGATTGAAATTTATTCATTGGAAGAAAAAAAAAAGAAGGAAAAGAATAAGAAAAGACAGAAAGAAAGGAATAGGACAAATCATTCTCTCGGCATTACATCGGAGATTACATAAAGCTTTCGTACTTTCAGTTTCTAACTAATTACGAATCAACGAATTGGAAGAAGGTATTGACAATGCCATTATCCGTGAATGTGGAACGCGCTCGTAGCCAAACCCTCGCTCGTCCGGAATTCAAGAATGTTGGTGAGCTATCTCAGGAGGAGAGAGAAGTGGTCAATTCGATTAAACGACTTTGTTCTTCATCCGTACGATCTACTCGTTTTAAATAAGGGCTTAATCGACAAAAAGATATATACACAGACACACATATACATTAACTATCTTATTTACTTTCGTATCTACTTAAAAAAAAAAAAAAAAAAAGAAAGGAGTAATAATTTAGTCTAAAACACGCACACACCTCAATCATTCAATTAAATGTCATTGAAATAATTTCGATTGGAGGATTTAAAAACTCGTCAAAATTTTTTCTTCATTCTTTTCTCAACTTCTTTATTTGTCGTATAGAATAGATAATGATAAACTTTGACGAATGATTATTTTAATAATAGATATATCACTACTCAAGGGTATACATATAATAATCTGGAGAAAGACGTCGCTTATGTACTTATATATATTTCTCTTTTTTGAAGAGAAAGAAATAAAAAAAAATAAAATAAAATAAATAAATAAATAAATAAATAAACGTAATGTATCATGACAACGTAATTGCTGCTTTGAAAAAGAAATCAAATACCTCATACCTTTATTGATTTTTCTTCTATTCATATACATTTTTCTTTCTATTTTTTTTTCTTTTTTTTCTTTTTTGGCACATATATATGTATATATATATATAATTTTTTTTTTTATTTATATTCATTTAATGGACGTTTTTGAAGATATACATCGAATTTTTTATGTGAAATGTTTCAACGGAATGATGAGAATTTGCGAGAAGAAGATTTATTTTTATTTTATTTTCGAGAAAGAATTAAAAAAAAAAAAAAAAAAAAATGTAGAAGAAAAAAAAAAGAAAAACAAATGAAAAGAAAGGAAGAATAAAAAAGATTTGTTTCTTCATAATCGACGGGTATTTAGGCCAGACGCCCTTTTTTTTTTTTTCGCTAAAACGAAACACTATTTTAGCTTTCAGAATGAAAACAAGCAGCAGATAGTAACGATTAGGTATATAAAGTTTTACACAGGACTATTTATGTATGCAAGTTTCTACTTAATTAACGACAATCCTCTTATCTAATGGAAAGCTATTGTATCAATCGTTTAATCGACAAATAAAAAATGAATATAACGTACGATAAAATGCATTTCATATGTCCATTCAAGATTTTGTTACATGAATTATATTATCTTTTATGGTTTACCATTAATACAAATAAATTAGATAATTAATTATAGGAGCAATTGGTTTTGAAGTTTCCAAATGACGATTTTCTTTTGATATTTTTGATATACACATCTCTCTTTCTCTCTATTTTACTATTTCTTTTTCCTCTTTTTCTTTTCCTTTTTCTTTTTTTTTTTTTTCTTTTCCTGTTTGATAGTAAAGATAGAACATCGCTATTATAAGTCGAAGATGAAACGGAAGAATCTTCAGAGATAATTATTGATTACGGATTAAATGATGACGATAAATCTTCTTTTTTCTTTTTTTGCTCTTCTTTTTTTTTCTTTTTTTTTTTTTTTTTTCTTTGTTTGGTTTACTTTCCCACTGTCGTTAATATAATAAGCGTAGATACGAGAGAAGTTTTCTTACGCCTTATCTAAGATTTATGAGAAATATAAGAGAGTGACGTCGTTTCATAGCAAAGGAAAAATAATTCAATTCGTCCAACGCTTTTATTAATTGTTATCCTCGAAACCCGTCGCCACAGCTGCCATCGGCTTCGAGAGCATGCCCGCCTGTAACATAAATGGAAATCGAGGGAATGACCTTAATTAATGGACTCATTGAAAATATTCTTTTAATTATGTACTATCATTCTCTCTCTCTCCCTCTCTTTCTCTTTCTATGTATATATATATATATATTTCTATCTCTATCTCTATCTCTGTCTCTGTCTCTTCGTGCAAAACGATTTAACGCATTGATTAACATTTCAGTTCATTCGAATTAATTTTATCGCATTAAATCAATGATATATATATATATATAAATATTCTTAGCTATTTAAACGTATCGAGATATTTATTCGTTCGGAAGAAATTTATTTTCCATTCTCAAAGTTAATGAGCTTCGAAAGATCGTCGCGATAATGTCGTAGGAAAAATTGAAAAAAAATAAAAAGAAAAAAAAAGGGAAAGAAAAAATGATGAAAGGAAGAAAAGAAGAAATAAAAAGTTGCCTCTTTAAAAGGAAAAACGAGACGTGCGACGATAGGCCGTGATTCAGTTGATTCGATTGAACGAATTGAAGATTGGAAATATACAACGCAAGTTACATTCAAAAGAATGATATAAGAGAGTTTCTCTAAATAAGTAGGGAGATATTATTGGACATGAGGAAAAAAGAAGTAAGAAATTGAGGACAATCTTACGTGATCGAGAAGCAAGCTTGATTAGAGAAGAAGAGATGCTTTGATGAGACATGACCATTCATGTCAACTTATTGAAGAAGAGAAAAGAGAAGGGAAAATATATAGATAGATAAATAAATAGAGAGAGAAAGTTAGAGAGAGAGAGAGAGAGAGAGAGAGAGATAGAGAACCACAAAGAGCAAGGCAATTGATTTTGTTATCAAATCTTTATTTTGAATTAAGTTTTTTTCTTGTTTTTCTTCACCCTCCTATCTTGTAATGCGAAAGAAAAAGATAGAGATAGAAATAGAAAAAGAGAGAGTGTGTGTGTGTGTGTGAGAGAGAGAGAGAGAAAAAAAAAGGAAATAAAAAATTTCCCTAATTTACAAATATTTGTACATTTAATGTTTATCTCGTCGTATATATATATATATATATATATATATATATATATATGTAAGAAACGATATATTTCCTTGTTTTGTCACAAAATCTTTATAATTCATGAAGTCTCTATTTTTTGACTTTACTTTAGAAATATTTTTCGTAAAAACGCATTAATCAGCGCCACGATATCGGTGTTGCGAACAATGCAAATTTTTCTTTTTCCTAGCCATGTCTTTTTTCTTTTCTCTCTCTTTCTCTCTCTTTCTTTCTTTCCTCTACCTGCCCTTATTACGTATACATTTTACTTACGTATGTATGTAGGTATACACTTTTTTTTCTTTTCTTTTTTCTTCTTCTCCCTCTCTCTCTCTCTCTCTCCCTCTATTTCGTTTCATTTCTCTACCCGTTCAACCATATAGGATTTGGTATATCTATTTATATAAAAATTGAAACGATCGTGCGCGACAGACTGGAAATTGCTTCGTTGTTTCCTTCGTAAAGTGTTATTTCTCAAAGACGCGTCACTTTGCGAACGATCGATAAACTCTTGGGACTAGTTTCCCTTGCCTTCTCTTTCTTACCTATCTATCTATCTATATATCTATGTATCTATGTATCTATGTATCTATACGTGTATACCAATAGCGATAAAAATTTCAGTAATGTGTCATGTCACTCTTGCTATGTCCTTACGAATTTGTACTTGTCAGCTCGCACCCTTCGGACAAGTTCACTGACATTCGACTTCATTTTATATATATATATATATATATATATATATATATATATATATATATATATATGTATATATGTATGTATGTTTATATATGGAGGTATTTATTTCAAGGATAACCTTCGGTAAAATTGACTGATCTATCCATCTGCGCGATATAAACAATAGTATTATAATCGAACGAGCTAGTGACGTTTTTATTATCTCTCTCTCTTTCTCTCTCTCTCTCTCTCTCTCTTTCTCTCTCTCTCTCTTTTTTTTTCCTTGACATTCTCAAACATTTCGAGTAAATATTATTATATATCCTATCTATAAGAAGATCTGTTAGTAAATTAATTGTTTACGAATAACGTAAATATGTGGATAATACGTAACAAGTAAATAATTTATGAATTGAAATAAAACGTGGGTATGTTATATGTGTATAAAAAAAAAAAAATAAATATGTATTATATTTTTAATATCGTCAGAAGAATATTTCAAAAATAATTCAAAGACTTTAACTTCTTCCTTTGATATCGTTAACTCGTACAGTTCACCGATCATATAATAAAATCTGAGACTTTTACATTAGGTATATCAATGAGAAAAAAAAATAAAAAATAAAAAAAAGAAGAATAATAAAAAAGAAAAGAGTTGGGATATGATATTAGATATGTATTTATGTCTATGTAATCGATTAAATCGATCAATCGAATGAATTCGATATTTCTTTTTTTATATAACGAAATAACTTACCGAAATGTGAGGTGAACCAGAACGACCAAATCGTAAGCGCAATGACGGCGATCGTTGAGATTTACGAATCATCAGATGTTCCAATGGGACCCCATTAAATCCGCCGTTTTCTAAAGCGTTCCGTTGCAGGATGAGTCTGTAAAGTTCGTGAATATTCTCGGCCGTCGATTTGTCCGGTGATTCGTCTGTAAGTACAGAATAAAAAAAAAAAAAAAAAAGAAAAGGAAAAAAAAAGAAAATTAACAAATGTAAATATCAATAATTTCATCATAGACATCGATAATTTTCAATTCTTCTTCTTTTTTTTTTTTAAATTATCATCAATTATTATCAATATAATTCACTAGATCAGATTGTCACTCGGACAAACTCGAGATATTTTTTATCGATAAAAAAGATTTCACATTTTCAATACTTTTATTCGAAGACGATGAAACGATCGTCGCGTAAATGAGTGATCATTGATGACTGTCTTTTTTTGACAGTATGAAAAAAAAAAAAGAAAAAAAAATCTCCAGAGAGTCCATAGGATCATATATCTGTATCTAATGTCCCGACGATTTCAATGCAAGCGACAAAAAATTGTCGTTTTCCTATACAATAAGAATATTTTGATGTATCGGCTGTCCCAAGTTAACTACTTTTGGATAATATTGTGTCACTGTTATCGATTTAATGAATTATTATGAAAATATCATATCATTCTCTGACATCTGCGTTTATATATATATATATATAGTTCTGTGATTTTTCAAAGATCGATAAGTATAAATTAGATTCCATTCATGTAATGATTCTCTTTCTAATTGTAAGAGAGGGAGAGAGAGAGAGAGAGAGAGAGAAAAGAAAAGAAAAAGAAATAGATAAATAAAATGCAGAAATCGCCAGGAGCAAATAAAAAAAAAGTTTCTACTGGAACGAGCGCGTTCCTTTTAATTTTAACAGTGATCAGAATTTTTCAATTTCCCGAAGTAAAAAGAAATTCTATTTTCTATAGTCAACGTCAATGAAAATATTCAAAAATATTATTTATCACGTTTTGAATAATTCCATCATATGAGAGATGATGTGCAAGCTAGTATGTGAGGTCATTAAATTGTTTTACGATAAGTAACGTTCTTCGTTTTATTCGGGATTGATCTTTATGATAAAGACCGAGAGGTTATTAAAAATAAACGAAGTACATGTATAAACGATAAATAACAAAGTGTGTTTATATACATATATATATATATATATATATATATATATATATATATATATATATTTATATATTGCTGCTTTGATCGAGAAAATAGACTTTTGATTTCGTATCGAAATCAAAATCTCACAAAGAATTGAAAATTAAAAATAATCCATTCATTCGATAGTTATATAAAAATATTTTTCTTTTCTTTTCTATTCTTTTCAATATTCTGATTAAACAAAAACAAAAGAAAACGATAAAATCGAAGGATCTATTTTTTTGTTTTTCTTTTCCTTTTTCTTTTTTCTCATCACACCGACTCATTCATTAACTTTTTATTATCAATTAATATGAGATCACGTTTCGTATTCCATTACTTTAACTAGTAATATTAAGGGCAAGGTTCTTTATTAATATTGTATACTAATATTGTATAATAGTTGTATAATAATAACTGATGATTGCGTAAGAAGGTCCTTTGTCATAAAGGAGCACTTTCACAGATGCGATGAAAATAACTTATTACCAACGATATCTAATAATACTCTTTCAAAAATATTCTTTTCTTATTCTTTATATCATGAATGAAATCATTTCTATCCAAGTTAATCATTTTTCTTTTAAATGTAATTTTTTTTTGCTTTTGTTTTTTTTTATCTTTCTTTTTTTAATTTTCCCATTAAAATACTATCACTAGGAATTAATAATTTTTTTTTTAAATAATTGATAGTAATTGTTACCAATAATATAAATAGAATAAAATATACATGGCAATAATAATATATATATATATATATATTATCAATGAGATTGAAAATCAAAAAAATTATTCTTTCTTTTATCGTTCTGACAATACGACAATCGCAGATTGTGATAAATCGAAAAGAATTGTAAATTACAAAAGCAATGATAAATATAAAGGGATGGTTAAACGGAAAATGTGTAGGTATTATGTCGAATCATATGAATAAAAACAAAGAGAAAAGGAAATAGAATGAAATGGGTAGCCATATCGAATGAAAACGGAAATAGAAAATTCTATGGATTCTATTGATAGGTAAAAATACGAAATATGAATGGATGAGCCAAACATATCGATCATTGAAAAATGGTGTAGCATCCTTCTAGTTTTTTTTTTCGTTTTTTTTTTTCGAAACGGTTCGATGATTTTATCGAGACCATATTGTCCGTTAGTGTAGGAAGTCAAAACATTGTGTCTTTTCTAAAAGAATTCTTCGATTCCACGTTGATGAAAAAAAAAAAAACGATGTCTATAGTATTGAAAAATAACGTGACGTCATTACACTTCCTTTTTTTTCTAACATACTACTGACAAATAAAATTCTATGTAGAAGTTATTTTGTGTGCGTGTGTGCATGTGTGTGTGTGTGTGGGTAATTTTTAATCATTTAATATTAAGTCAATAATATGTAAAAATAAAAGAAAAAAAAACAATATTCGAATATGTATATTTTATATTTGTTTGATATAATTTTGTATTAAATTTTCAAATTTTAAAATATTTTAATTTTTCAAGACAAGACAATTAGTTAAGCGGCTTATTTAAAAGCTTCTTTATCGTATTTACAAACATTTTCATTACTCCATTTTTCATGAGTTTTTGCATAAATAAAAATAAGTACGCCATCGTACGAAATTAATCTTAAAAGAAAATTTATCATTCAAATATTCATCCTCTTTAATCTTATTGATTATTTGGCATACTCAAATAGATTATCATGAATAGATTTTCTTTGATAAGAATTTTTATATTCACTTTTCAAGAGAGACAGAGAGAGACAGAGAGACAGAGAGAGAGAGAGAGAGAGAGAGAAAGAAAAATTTGTAATTTTTAATATTAATAAAACAAAAAACAAAGAATAAGAAACGAAAAGGAATAAAATTTCTATATCATTTAAAAAATTTCTTTCGCGATGTATATTGATTAATCAAAAAAAAAAGAAAAAAAAAAAAAAAAAAAAAAAAAAAAAAAAAAAAAAAAAAAAAAAAAAAGAATACTGAAAGAAGAACATTGATTATAATATATTACACAATTCGTACCTCCATAATCCACATAATTTTCCACCGCGCAGACGATGCCGAAGATGACAAGGAGGATGCTAGTTCTTAGACCGAATTCAGCCCTCATGTTGGATTTTCTGTAAAAAAAAAAAAAAAAAATAAAAAAATAAAAAAAGGTCAAGAAAAAAAAAAGGAAAAAGAAAGAAGAAAACGAACAATGAACACATAAACTTTTTATGTCACTGTTCGATCTCACAATTGTATTGATGACGATATGTAATAATTGTATATATAAAAAAAATAAAATCTCATTAAATGTAGAACGAAAACATCGATATATCGAGAAATATTTCTCTGAGATTAATCTTGTTTGTAAACATATTACACTGTTACGTTTTATGATCGTCGTGAGATTGTCCAAGAGAACGTTTGTATATGTACATAGATAAATATGTACTATCCACCACTACCATCCACCCACTCATCCAGTTAGAAATAAACAGAGGATTAAGTAAACAAGCCCGTAAAGCGCGTCGCTTTTTGACGTACCGTACGTTCTATCCATTGTTCTTATTGGATTTTCAACGGATCAAATGAAAACGATACGAAAGTTCAAAAACACATTAAACAACGATTAACAAATAATATTTGTAAATTCTACAAACATCATTATTATCGAACTATAATTTTATTTAACAATTAACAATTAATTTATTAATATCGTTTCTAAACGAAAGATAACAAATACAAACATTAGTTTCCTTTCACGTACATAATAAGCGAACTAAAAAATAAGAAAAAAAAAAAAAAAAAAAGATAAAAATTCCGGCATCATCATCATCTATACTTTATTGTTTCTATCAATAATTATACAATATATAAAAGGAAGTAGGAAAATAAAGAAAAAAAGGAAAAGAAACACCATAGGGTTCTTTTAAATATCCCGTCGAAAAAAGACAAGAATTAAAATAATTAAATAAAATATATTCATCTAATGATTTCGATTAGATCATATATATATATATATATGATATAGATAATGACGAGCCTCATGTGTATATATATCACGTAATTAAGAGTATGAAAGAAATGCAGATATATATTATAATAGTATATGGTACATTGAAGGTCTGTGATTACGTGATTTCTCTTTTTCACGATAACACGTAACAATGGTGTCGGAGACATCTGAAATTCTTAAGAAACGAACGATATTTTTTCTTCTTCTTTCTTCTCTTCCTTTATCCTCATTTCTTTTCTTTTTTCTTTTTCCATTTTTATTTTTATAACGATCAAACTTTTATACCTTGCCTATTTGAGATGCAGTAGAAATTTTTTTTCCTTTCTTCTCTCTTTTTTTTTGTTTTTTTTTTTTCTAAATGGATCTCGTTACAATTCAGCATTTAAAATATTAATGAATTGTTCTATCCTCTTCCTCTTCCTTTCTTTCTCTTTCCCTCTCTCTCTCTCTCTCTCTCTCTCTCTCCCATACATTGATACATTTACGTATTTTCATAAAAATGTTATCGGTATTTATATCACGAAATATATCGAGTAAAAAACTAAGAAGAAAAAAATAAGTAATAAATAAAAAAAGATATAAAAAAGCGAGAGAGAAAGAGAGAGAGAGAGAAAGAGAAAGAAAGTAAAAAAAAAAGGTATGAGTTTCGACGATTAATTATTTATAAAAAGATAAATTTTATCATCATCCACGCTGACAAACTTCGTTGCAATCAACGTGATAAATATCGAATTCACGAAGAGAAGAAGAGCTTTCACCTTGATAGACTTTCTTAATCTCTCTTCGATCTCTCGAATTTCGCAATTTCTTTTCTTTTTTATCCTCCCTTATATTTTTACTCTTTAAATGATAATAATTCCGTGACAAGTCGGATTATCTTTGATTTTCGATACAACATAAGATGGAGGGGAGAATTCTTTATTCGTTTTTTTTTCTTTTTCTTTACTTTTTTTAATTTCGTAAGCTATATTGATATGTATATTCATTGTTTTTTTCTTTTGGTTTTTTCTCTTGAATACAAAAGAAAAGGAGAAAAAGAGAAGAAACATAAAAATCCAATGAGTTTCGATCCTAATTCGATCGATCACATCTTACTGATCGTAATATCTCCTATCGAATTAAACAATGTTTATATAAACATTACAATCTATATTAGGTAAGACATATTAATATAACCTTGGTACCCTTAGGCACCTAACTTTTGCATATCATCCCTATCGGCGAGTAATATGTCTTCTCATCCGTGATACTTGTACGAGCATGTAGTTATCTACATTATACATGTATATAGATATGTACATATATATTTATGTATGTATGTATATATGTATGTATATATGTATTTTCTATATATCTATGTTACAACATATATGCATCTAATGTGTCGTCGTATATTTCTCGATATAATGCTTTAAAATTTATTACATTTCAATAGATTTTAATTCTTCGGGATTTAAAGTTAACATTGATTGTAAACATCGTATATAGGAAATAAGAAAGGGAAACAAAACAAAACAAAACAAAACAAAAAATATGGATCGTACGAAATCTATTATAACATTACTTTGTTCCTTTTTTTTTTTTTTTCTTACATATCATAAACAAATAAAAAATAAATATTTACGTTGCATCGACGCAAATGATTCGTTTCGCCATTTTTCGGTATAATTTAATCGCAACAAAATATGATTAAAAAGATAGATTGAGAGAGAGAAAGAGAGAGAGAGAAAAGATCGAGATGAATTCGTTTAACAAATTTGATATTTTTTTTATTAAAAAAAAAAGCGAACGGAGGATAATCGATCGGTCGGCCAGCAACAAGTGACGATTCAGAGCGGAGAATCTTCTCGCGAATAAAACGAGAGAGAGAAAAAGGGAGAATCTATCGTTTGCAGAGAATAAATCTCTTTTTCGAATCAAGTTACTCCAAAAAAAAAAAAAGAAAAAGAAGAACGAAATAAAAAAAAAAATTCAGAGAAAATAAAAAAAAAAACAAAAACTCAATTGTTCGTAAGAATTTTTTAATCAGTTTATTTATTGCATTCTTTTTTTTCTTGTTTTCTTTTTGACAAAAGCTACGCATCCAATACAAAATTTAATTAGCTTCCTTTCTCTCTCTCTCTCTCTCTCTTTCTCTCTTCCTCTGTATTCATCGACATCTTAAAAAAAAAAAAGAAAAAGAAACAAAAAGATCGCTTTTTATCATTCATGGAAAGGAGATATTTTTTTGTGGATAGTTAACATTGAAAAAAGAAAATTTGACAATATTTGATTATTCCTTGTACGGATTATATTAAAAAAAAAAAAAAATTAATTAATAAAATTAATCGAAACTATTATTTAAGATAAAATAATTCTTGTCAGATGCAAAAATTAAATTCTTTGAAAATGATTATATACCTGGTAGGTACTTAGTTATACATACATACATACGTAGAGATATTTCGTCAAAAAATTCTATAAGTACGTACGATATGATACCTAAATACATACATACATATATATATATATATACATATATGGAAAAGAACTAAAATTATTATTATTAAAATAATAAATTAAAAAAAATGATGATACTTAAATTAAGATAATGATGATACATTTAAGATAAAAAAAATTAAAAAAAAAAATGTATTTACACATCTAGTACATATCTATTGTCTTTAACGAATAGACGTTCGGAGACGTTGGTTCGACAGTAAAAAACGATATTCACAAACCCCATAACTTTATATTGACATAAACCATAAAGAGATATGCGCGCTCAAGTAAAATCGTAATCACTGTTTACGATCAAAGAGGGTATATATTTAGAAAAATGAGATTATTCTCAGATCGCGGCTAGGCAAGAAGGAAAAGGGGCAGTCAGGCGCGAGCTTAAAAGTATATTATTTTTTATCGACTGATTTTTTATGAGAATACGCGGGAAGTAGTGTATTTTCCAAGCGAACGACGAATTTTTCGATGACATCCGATAGAAACAACGTGCATCGGCTTATCGAGTGGATGCAAACGAAAAAAAAAAGAAGAAAAAAAGAAAGAAAAAAGAAGAAATGAGGATTATAGTTTCGTCGATTAAATTCTATTTAAATTGATCGCATTGTAGAAGACAAAATTAAAGGAAGGATTAAAAAAAAAAAAAAATAGAAAATGAATGAATAAATTGCAATAGTTTCTTTTGTTTTTCTTTTTGTGTGTTCTTTAAATAATTGCCACTTGTCATTTTCCCAACAGTACTAATAATTTCTAATGATTTATCGATTACGCATATATTATACAGATATGCATAGATATACGTCAATTTATTATCAAAATATTCATATATTCTCTCGTATTATGTTAGTCAATTGTATAAGTCTACTTATATATACATATAATATATATGTGCAATAAAAGTTTTTATTAATCTTAAGCGATCTTGTATGAATAGCTATTACATTGATTCTCGATTCCTTCGGCGTTTTGCAATTTTTATGTAAACGTGTCTCTTGAGAGCATACATTTAAAACAGAAATCCGTGAAAGCGGATAAACACGATAGAAAGTCCCTTACGTGTAAAACTTGTGAATAATTTTTGAATCAATTAAATTCTACTCTTCAACTTGAACGTAAAGAAGGGCTGAGAAGTCACTACATATGAGACGAACGAAAGGGCGATAATGAAAAGGGATGTTTCTTAAAGAGATTATTATAAAATTATGAAAGAGAGAAAGAGAGAGGGAGAGAGAGAAAGAGAGAGGGAGAAAAAGGGAAGAAGGAAGGAAGGGAGGAAAAGAGAAAGACAGAAACTTTCAACGAGTTTGCCAATGTAATCCCCTATGTTTCTGCAAGTTGGAAAATTGCGTGTCATTGCAAATTACTATCCCCTTTAATTACGATTAGTAGTTAAGGATTATACGAGTTGAGAAAAGAAAAAAAAGTATTAATTAAAGTAGTATATACACACATATACATATACATATACATATATATATATATATATATATATATATATAAAACTAGAGATAAATTAAATTTAAAATTTGAAATCTATTTTAATTATTCAAGTAAAAAAAAAAAAAAAAAGAAAAAAGAGAGAGAAAGAAAAAAAGTAAAAATAACGAAAGAAAGAGATAAAAGTAGATACAACGAAATACGTATCAATGTTGAACATTGAAGAAGATGTATAGAGAGCAAAAAAAAAGGAAAATAATAATAAATAAATGAATAAATAAATAAAAATGTCAGAGATATTTATTTAATAAGAAATCGTGAAATTAAAACGCGTATACTTTCACAAAATCACAGAGAATCGTAGAGGGATAAAATGAGATAAAAATAAAATAAAAGAAAAGAAAATGAACGAAGATAAAAGGAAAAAATAATATTACGGTACAAGACGATATTTACTTACATGAAAGTAATCGCCGATACGAGTTGTTCTTCGAGTAACGGAAAACAAAAAGACGTTTGTACGTCAAAAGAAAATTTCTTCTCTTTTCTTCTTTAATAGATTAAACTTGATCTATCGATGAGATGGCAAAAGATCAATGTCTTAAGAAGGGGATCGTCAGTGATAAGAGTTGTCGTGAGCGCTGTATCGCACGTTACCGCAGTAATGATACGAAGTGTAGAGATGCCGTGGATCCCTTTATATATATAGGGAAAGCCGCGATGGTGCTTTCGATGGGGGATGAAAAGGGTGGGTGCACAGGTGGCCGCTTGAAAAGCAGCCACGCGGTTACGGGGCGCAAGCGTTCCTCTCTTCTCATCCCTACCTCGCGATTTTTCTCTCACAATCATCCCCCTCTTCGTCCTTCTCCTCCTCCTCCATCACTTCATCCACCTTTTCCCCTCTCTCTCTCCTCTTCAATTCACTCTTCCTTAATACCAACAACGACGCGAAACATGGTAATCACTACGTCATTCAGTTCTTCCTAATGACGATTATGATATTTGTATTCGTGATTATTTTAACGATGACAATGGTCCTCGTGTTTCTCGTCATAGTATTATGTTATCCTTCTTCCAAACATATATACATATATATATATGTACATTATCGAGCCGCTTAAATTATACTCTTGGGTGAACGTAAATATTGTGAATATTGTGAATATTGTGAATATTTTTTTTTCTTTCTTTCTTTTTTTTTTTCTTTTTCTTTTCTTTTTCCTTTGTTAAACAAAGACAATCGTCCTTCGTTATTCGTCAAATTTTATTTCTTCGTAATAATACTTCGCGAAAATATTTTTGTATAATTTTTATTCTTTTTCACGTCCCTTTTTCATTATAATATATTCCAGTCTAACAATATTGATCTATTTCTCTTATAATTATCAATCGTTAGAACATCTTAGATAAGCGTGACGGTAGCAAAAGTAAAAAAATTAAAAAAGTATAAAAAGTTCGAGTTGAAAAAGTTAAGATATATAGGATAACTTTTAAATAGAAGTATTAACGTAAGTATTTTATGCAAGTCATCTTCATTAAGATGATTTTACCTTAAGGATATTCCAGTCAGCTCTCTTACTTCTTTTCAATCTGACATCGTCTTATCAATTTGCTTAGAAGGGCAATGGAGACGACATTTTTTTTTCCTTTTTTCTTTTTTTCTTTTTTTTTTTTATTTCTTCGAATTTCCGAATTCATTCGTATCATTTGACCCTGGTACAAATTTAAGAAGCATTGCTTTTAGAAGAGTACACTCAGTAACGATCCTTTTCGTTTATGTTCGTCTTACGAATTTTTTACTTTTATGAAGATTTTGGATATATATATATATATATATATATATATATATATCCAGGGGAAAACTTTTCAGTTAACCAAGTATGATCTTTCGCATAAGCAAATATTAATTTTCTCCGAGTTTATCTGGCAAATCTTAAGATCAATAATTTGTAAAAGAGAAGATTTAAAGAGACGATGAAAGAAATAACAAAGAGAAATCTATATATATATATATATATATATATATATATATATATATATATATATATTTGTTATTATATTATCGATGAGGACGATAACAACGACTAACGTTTTAAAAATAATCTATTTTTCTGTATCGTTGAAGAATTAAATAACGTAATAAAGCATTAAGAATATATGTAAGACGATAATAAATAATTATCCGTGAGATTTTCATTCAATTTTCCTTTTATTTTCTCGATCATCGATAAAATTACTCTTTTATTTTAAACGTTAAATCGTAACGATGCTAAGTAAAATTGATAAAATAAAATATAGATTTCAAAGAGTAGCATAATCAAATTCAAAAATTTATATTTCTCAAATGTGCCTTGAAGAAAATTAAAAATAAATACAAATTGTTTAACGTGATCGTCAACTTATAAGATTACATAAAAATTTTAAATAAAAAAAAAACAAAAAAAAAAGAAACAAAAAAGATTATAACAAAATAGTTCCTACTTTTCGTATAATCCACTTTCATATAATTTATATATTAAATTATACTTCAATCGTGCGTTATTTTTATCTCTGCAAATAATAAAAAGGAGAAAAAAAGAAAAAGATGAAATCACAACTGTTCTCTCAAACGTGTATTATTATAATTTGATTAAAAAAAAAAAGAAAAGAAAAAAAACTAAAATAAAAATAAAAAAGAAAAAACCATATTGGTTCTTGCAATCGTCCTATGTTACAGGACGACAGATATGAATTATATTTCTTATCTAATCTATAAGTTATGATAAACTAAATCTCTATTTGACAAATCAAAGCATATATCTAAAGTCACCCTACCGGGTTCGCTATTTCTTTTTTTTTTTTTTTTTCTTTTCTCTTTTTACCGATCGACAATATGATTTAATGCGAATATCGGTGGTACTATCGCACGATTGATTTTAAAATGAAACAGATTATTCCTTATATATCAGGAAATAATATGACGTGCGATTTAGACTTAGAAAGAAGAAAAAAAAAAAAAGAAAAAAACCTGAACTAGGAATTTAAACTAAAAATTATAAACTCGTAAGAAAAGTGTCATCGCAAAGTGTATTTCAAATGTATAAAAAAAAAGAGAGAGAGAGAGAGAGAGAGAGAGAGAGAGAGAGAAAACAAATAAAAAGAAGATGAATTAATCAACTTTAAAATTAAATTAATGAACTTAATATTATACCGAGACTTTAGGCAAACAATTTAAACGAAAATTAACGATTAAGATTTCTTAAAGCGACGAAGAAAGATCGTAACGTGAATTAACGATAGATCGCTTCGTTCTAATTGCATTACTTAAGAATCTTTTACTGGTTGAGAAGCGCGAGCACGTTTACGAGAACAACTTTCACCCTTCTACAAGTACTCTCTTATATACATCGTTCACGAGGGACTACGCATTCAAGTTTAACATAATTCAAAAATTCATTCGTTGATTTTGCATCCTTATGCAATTTAAATTGGAGAACTCGGAGCTTCGTCTCTTGCGGCGGACGGTTGATAATATCTCAATTTATTACTTTCAAAGGAGGACGAATATAAAATATGAAATTTTATTATATAGATATAACCTAGTAATACCTATTACTAACTATAGCTACGGATAATAATAATTATGATAATAATAATTTAAAAAAAAAAATAATAATAATAAACAAATTTAAGTTAATTCAAAAAAAAAAAGAAAAAAAAAAAAATTCTTTTATCAGACAATACATATACGAAGGATCGATCTTTGGACAATCTCGAAATTAAACGAGACACTTGAAAAACTAAATTACTTCTCGTCAAATTTCAAGTATTCTCAAGAACGTATTGAATTACAAGGATGCGTTTAGTGTTAATGTCTACTCGAGATCGTTCTCAGCTAATGTCTAAATAAACATATCTCACTAGAATAATGGAGATATCAATCGATACTGGGAAACAGAGTATATATATATGTATTTATGTATGTATATACACATATATATATGAAATGTATGTACATATGTATGCATGTGACTCGTATAAACATATATACGATAAAATATGATATACAGGAAAATTTATAAATACGTTCGTAAAATTATTTTATTCATATTTCGACGTTATCCTATTTAATTAATGATTATTATTAATATTTTATATATTTAATAGACATTGATATTACCCAAGTTATTATACGTCTAACGATACTTGTATTACTCCTTCTTTTTTTTTTAGATCTTGATCCTGATGACGTCAAAAATCCACCTTGTTACTCGTTTCACAGATGACAAAAAGATATCGATAGCAGTTCGAACGTATCTATGTAACTAGAAACCGACCTCCGATCGGTTTTATCTACCTCCATGAACTTTGTCCTTCATTCTACGAGCCATAGAACCTAATCAGTTATAACATAGATAACGTACATTGCTAGCCGTTTACAACGACGTAACCATATGTTCATTGAACGTCCACAGATTGTTTTGTCAATGAAAAGGACTTTCTCAATGTAAATTCTATTTTCTTTTTTATCTAACTCGTTGGTCTATCAATGTTTACGTTTATTTTCATTCCTTTAAATTAAATGTAACGATCGTTTTGAAATCTCTCATTGTCTTTTGTAATAAGATTTTTTAATAATTTTCTTTTTTTTTTTTTTTTATTTGTACATTTGTTTATTGTTCGTTTTGCTATCCCCTCCTTCCTCCACCCCTTTCCTTTTCTTCTCTCCTCTTTATTGCGATCACAATGATATCCTTTTATCGTTAGATAACATCATTGAATTTTTTATGAATGATCTGATCATATCAAAAGATGCATAGATCACACGAATAGAGTTAATAAATCCTCCATCTTGTCGCGATGGGCCAACTACAACTATTGCATCGCCAAGTTTGATATACTTTCTTTCTATTAAATAATTCAAACCAGCTCGCACGCGTACATCGATATCTTTTAGCCTATTGGGTAAAGGTGACGCTGAAAAATCATTAAAAATGTTACGAATGTTAGTCGTGATTTATTTAAACATTAAACGTACTTAGAAAATAAAAAAAGAGACTAAAGCATTTTGATAATTTTGAATAATTAAAAATTATGATGAATAATGATTTATAAGGCACTAATAAAATGATGTAATTATTAATGGAGAAAAAAAAGGCGAAACAAAAGTAACCAAAAAAAAAAAAAAAAAAAAAAAAAAAAAAAAAAAAAAAAAAAAAAAAAGAATAAACATATCGAATAATATGTCGTATTTTAACTTCACAACAAAACAATTTATGGGAGAGAGCTCATTAATGTCCCATATGTGGACAAACATTCACCGCGATTCCTTTCTTTCATCGCAAATGTATGTATATTGCACCCCACTCGTTTAATTTTCGATAATACGTTGGCGTTAAAGGGAAGAGAACAAAAAGGCGAATAAAACGAATTATAAAAGCATGTTTAACTGCAAATGTACTTCATATTCGATCGATTGTTCTCTCCTGGTTTCAATTAATCGTTAATGAAATTATTTACTGATTGTATAGAATAGATGAAGATACTAATAATAATAATAATAATAATAATAATAATTAAAAGAAAAAAAAAAAAGGAAAAGAAAAGAAAAGATAAAAGCATTGTTAATACATTGTAACATAGTGTGACTTTGAAAAAGTATCAATAAATCATTATTAAAATTAGTCATTATTATATATAAAATAATTATTAATATATAATATAATATAATATAATAGTGATATTATATTATATAATATATAATAATATACTATAATATATTATAATGTAACAATTATTAGTACGATATTATACTAAGTATAACTTATATATATATTAGTATGAATTTAATGTTATATGATTTTTTTCAATGGATAAAAAAAAAAAAAGAGAAAAAAAAATAAGAAAAGAAAGACAAATAAAATGAGATTATAAAGAGTTGAATTTAAATAATGTCTTCGTAATGATACCTTACCATTGTAATGAACGGAATGTACGGCAAAATAGATATTTAAGTATCGGGCAACAAAACCAAAACGCGTAACAGCTACGATGGGACATCGTGGTCGATAAATCGAGAGCAAGACGGCGCTACGTCCGGTCGTAGTTGTGATTATGATAGCGGCTGCATTACAATTCAAGGAGGTCTGTATGGCGCCAATGGCAATCGAATACACTACGTTCAATGGTATAGACATCTTAATTATAAATAAAACAGAAAAAGTAAGTAACATTAAAAATTTTATCTGTATTAATTAATAATATTAATTAATAATAAAAAAAGAAAAAAAAAGAAAAACAAGAAAAAAAAATCATAACGCACGCTCATATTTTTATATACAAGATTTTGTCACTTATATCATAGTTTTTGAGATATATATATATATATATAAAACATATATTAGATATTATATATCGAATCTGATAAGAGACATATAACATTTGTCTTTTATATTCATTTTTCGAACATAATCGATCATTTAAATAACGTATATAAAAAATATACTAAATAATAAACTTACCATATTATTAAAAGTATTTAAGAAAATTTCTCTTTGCCATCGTGCACTTTCCGCTTCTCTACACACAGTATCAATTTCTTTAACAAGTAGTAAAGTATCTTTCAAGTTCAAATTTCCTGTAGCTAAGCAAATTGTATCCGCACCGTCTAATACAGCAATTGCTATTAATTCTGTATTAATTTTCGGTGTCTTGTTGAGTTTAGGACGAAAATTTATAACTATGGGTTTACCGATCTAAAACAATGCAACAATATGGTTAACCTAATTTCCAAGAATGTTATAAGATACTTATAATATGTTACTGTAATGATATTAACCCTGTTACATTTAGCTATTATAGATTTTTGCGCGAGAAATAATTTTTCTTTTCCAATATCAAGTTCCAAACCATCCCTTTCAAAGATAATACCGTCGGCTTCTTTCAATATTTCATCGAAATTTTGTAAACCCTGTCTCGTACAGATCTTCGCCAAAATTTTAATCCAATTACTTCCTGGGAAAAAAAAAAAAAAAGGAAAAAAAAGGAAAAGAAAAATCAATCAAATTACACATTCTCTCCTTCATCAAATTATTATTATTATAATAATAATAATAATTTGATATAGATAAATCTAATAAATAATCATTTTACAAACCTATTTTCTTTATTTCGTCACGTACAGAACTTATCATTTTCCTGTTACGTGCTTGATTTACAATAATAAAATCGCATTCAAGCTTAGAAGCAAGTTCAATGTCTTTGCTATCCTGTTTCGAAATAATTGGAAACGAAATAACATTGTCCAAAAGTTGAACCGTTTTTTCATTTCCAATAATACCACCTTTTAAAATCTTACAAATCACTTCATTGCTTCCTACAATAAAATCATCAAAGTTCTAATTGAAATGAATATATCTAATTAATTATTTATATTCTATTTATATCTAATGTATTAATTTTTTAACGTATATAAATCTTTGAACAATTTTCACAAATCAATATTAATATATATGATTTTGATTTTAACTAACCGACACAAATAACTTTTAACAATATAGCGCCACGATCGATCGAAATAGTATCTCCTACGTGACATACATTTGATAATTCTTGATATGATACCCAAAAACAGGAGGACGTACCCGCACGTCGTATTTTACCATCCGTCAATAAACGTACCTTATTACCTTCGACGAATACGCCGCGATCCTGTACGAAAGTATTTTCAAAATGGCGTCTAAAGCATTTACAGCGCCATCTATCTACAGATATTTAAAATAAATTCTAATAATAAGATTATATATATATATATATATATAGATTTATTTATTTATTTAATAATATTAATAAATAAAAATAAAAATAAAAATATAAATAAATAAATAAATAATGAAAGAAAATTATTAAATCATTTGAAATATTTCAAAGATTAATTATTATACTATGCATGATGAATCGCCACGAAATTTTCCAGTACGTATCTCGGGACCATGTAAATCAATTGCCACACCAATAGGACATATTTTACACATAGATTTGTAAAGAATATTTCCCGCCTCTCTTATTGATCTTACGGTAATAACGTGCCATTTTTCTGTTTGATGCGATAAATTCAAACGAACAATGTTTGCACCGGCGTTAATGATCTCCGCAATTGCCAATGGATAAGAATTTGTTATACCTAATTTAATTTAATTTTCTTTCTTTTTTTTAGAGAAACAATAAATATAATAATAATAATAATAATAGGAATTCTGATCTAAAGGATTATACATTTCATTAGATTTATCTATGTATAATATAATTATAATATCTTCATTTAGATAATAATTGTGAATATAACCAACTCATGGTAACCATGACACCAGTAAGCTTGACTGGCCTTGGACTTGAATCAATATCTAATTGCATATAATGATCCAGTCGGTTCTTTCTGTATGCTGCAACTAATTGATTCTCTAATGATTCCTTCTCCTCATTGAATATCTATCAACGACGCAGGAAAAAAAAATGGAAATAAATGTAAAAATAATAAATGAGAAAAAAAAAATATATATATATAAAAAATAAATAACAATAAGATTCTTTTGTATATTACTCTGTTACGTTATAAATTATTAATTACGAACCTGTGGTATTTCTTGATTACTTGACATTTCGCTCGACATTTTGTTATAGATTTATATTATTTAATGTTCACATAAAAAATCAATTTTTATTAATTACAAATATGAATTTATATGACATTATGATATAATGATAACTGGTTATTAATAATATTCCATATATGAGAGTTTTATATTTTTTTTTTTTTTCGGATGAAAAAAGATACTCAATGATGAAATTAGATGATTAACTATTGCCGATGATATTTATCAAATGACTAACATTATCGAAACTTACTTTCTTTTCTTTTTTTTTTTTTTTTTATCGAGAATCGTTATTCCTATTTTAACAATAAAAAAAAAAATGTATGTAAGTACTTACATCATCATACAACAGTTGCATTGTTGACGTATGTTGAAATATATTCGGTTCGAATAAAAGTCAAGAAAATTTCTCATTTCAATAATTTATTTTTCTCTTAAACTTTTCTTTCAAACTGTTTTCATAGCGTTTTGCACATATAAATATATATATATATATATATATATATATATATATATATATTTATATCTCATTTTGTACGGCAAACTTCAATGGATACTTTTCAACAGCATTATAATAATACTGGGTCTACTAACAAAATAGTATCGTTGTTCTACAACGAATTTACTACGGTTCGCGTTAACATGGTGATTATTTATTAAACGCACGTTTTCAAAATTTTTATTAGATAGGTCTTCCAGCGATATGATGTCGTTTCTGTAGCCAAGTATTGTATTTTTTTTTTAAATGAGAACTATGTCTGAAGGATTACGAGGCTCATCCAATGATCGATCATTTTGCGCAATAATAATCATTGTGCAAAAGTAATTAATCATGAACGAGACCCATCATTACCAGTGTTGGTTCAGTCCACGGTTCTAAAAAAAATATAAATAATTGATTATTATAAGAAATAAAAAAAAAAAACCCATTAATAGCAATATATAGACATATAGATTAATTAAAAAAAAAAATTAACTAATAAAAATCACCAAAAGTTAATAATTAACTTGACATAATAATTAACAATAAAAAGTAGAAAAATATAACTGTACTTTGATCTCTTTGAATTCTATAAATTTGACATAACACACACATATATATATACATATACACATGCACACTGAAACACAAATGATATATTAATATTTCTATTATAAAAAAAAAAAAAATGCAAAATGAATTTAATCGCATTCAAGATGTAACATATGAAATCTTATTTAAATGACACTTTTTTTTTTTTTAAATCATGCAGAGTTTAAGTTAAACGTAATCCTATTTATAAACAAACAATAAAGATATTATGAATCACGAACAAATTATATATCGAATAAACATGCATATAAATCATTTTAAAAATAAAGATAATCATCTTCAGTAGACGCTATACTATAACTACTAGAAATACGTGTTTGATAATCTGGATTTACGTACACTATGCGAAGAGTATTTGTAAATCCAGAACCCTGTCGCCAACCAGTGATGACAACAACGGAATCTCCAGCTTGTACGAAACCACGACTCTTTCCAAATTTCAATCCATACTGTACCCTTACATCGACATCTTTCAACCAATCAGAGAGTGGTGCGTCTATATATAAAAAAAATAATAATAATGAAAAAAAAAAAAAAAAAAGACAAATAATAAAAAAAGATATCTCATTAGCATTAAATTTCCATTAGCACATTTGCGTCATATAACTAATCTTAACGCTAATATTTATTATGAAATATAATTAAGCAGAGAGATAGAGATAGAGATAGAGAGAGAGAGAGAGAGAGAGAGAAAGAGAGAGAGAGAGAGAGAGAAACATGGATTAATGAACAAACCATCGTAGTAAAGCGGTAAAATGCCACGATAAAGATGTGCTTGCCGCGCAACTTGATGGAATCTAGTGACCGCGATAATCGGACAGCGTGGCCTATACTTGGCAATAAGATGTGCTGACCGGCCCGACGTAGTAATCACAATAATAGCACTGGCTAAACACTTGACCGACGCTTCTACGGCGGCAATAGCAACGGCATGAGTAGCATCAATTGGTGGTAATGCTTTGCTTGAAAGATCATGGAAGATCTGTGTTTGCCAAATTGCAGCTTCGGCCTCTTTGCAAATATTGGCCATTGTACGTACACAATCCAAAGGATAATCACCTTTAGCAGTTTCACCTTAAACGAGACATTATCATTATCATTATCATTATCATTACCATTATCATTATCATTATCATTATTATTATTAATTATATATATATACAAGGCAATATTATTTCATTCAATTAGGATGATTTATTTCTTTTTTAAATACCTGATAACATAACGCAATCGGCGCCATCGAGTACGGCATTGGCCACGTCCGATGTTTCGGCTCTTGTAGCACGTGGCTTCTTTACCATAGACTCCAACATCTGAGTAGCACATATAACAGGCTTACCAACTTTATTACAACGGGATATCATAGACTTTTGCGCAAGAAAAACTTTTTCCGGTGGTATTTCAATACCAAGATCACCACGAGCAACCATTATACCATCGGACGCTTCTATGATCTCATCGAGATTTGTCATACCTTGTTGATTCTCTATCTTCGAAATAATCTTGATATTTTTACCCTTTTCACCTAATATATCACGTATCTCGGTAAGTGCCGCGGCATTTCTAATGAACGATGCAAATATCATATCGACTTCTTGCTCGACACCAAATACAAGATCTGACTTGTCCTTTTCAGAAACTGCTGGCAAATCTACTGCGACACCCGGTAGATTAACGCCTTTACGAGACCCCAACATTCCACCATTCTCAACGGTTGTGGTAATTAAGTTTGGACCTATTGTAAAGAAATAAAAATAATAACAATGAAAGATATATAAATACTAGATCGATATTAATCCCTTCTTCGTATTTCTCCAACAACAAAAAAATAACGGAAACGAAAAAATTACTCACTCACTGCAGTAACGATGAGAGATATCAAACCATCGTCCACGAATACACGATTGCCGACCTTCAAAACTTTCGAAATATTCTCATAATCGACGTATATCGTACTAGCATTACCCTTCTCCAAATAAACTTTATCAGTCGACAATTTAAAGGCCTGCCCTTTGACCAATTCCACTTCAGCCGAGCCGCCCTACATCAATAATTAATCTTTATTGATATATATATATATATATATATATATCTTTATTGATATAGATAAATTTTTATGATCAGTTAAATGATCAATAAATACATAAACTTAAATCGCAAATGTTAACACATAAATGCGACCATTAAAATAATCGTGATACGTCTATTTAATATATGACAAATAATTACTTTTATCGAGGATACATCGTTCAAACATTTACACAATGATTGGAATTATTTTTAATGTCGGACAGGTTTTTTTTTTTTTTTTTTTTTTTTTTTTTTTTTTTTTTTAAGTAGAAGATTACGTTAGTTACGAGAAAGAGAGAACGAGAGAGAAAGAGAAAGACAGAGAGACAGAGAGACAGAGAAAGAAATAAAAAAAAATATAATATCATTAAAAATAATAAATTAATGATGGAACCTACGCCTTCTAAAAGTCCGGTACGAATCTCTGGTCCTTTGGTGTCAAGAGCAATGGCTACAGGAATATTGATGCCAGCACGAGCTGATAAATTTTTTTGTGCTTCTCTAACATTTTTAATAGTCTCAGCATGATACTCGTGAGATCCATGAGAGAAGTTCATCCTGGCAATATTCATACCAGTTTCAATCATCTTCTCCAAGGTCTCTACGGATCTCGAGACCGGTCCAATCGTACAGATTATACCAGAAAGACGTACGAAGGATGCATGACTGTCTATGTCAAGTGCACACATATGATCCAATTGGCTTTGAGCATAAAGCGCTTGATTATTCGGCTTTCCAGCCATCTGCAAAAATTATTCATACTATTATATAATAATTCTAATATGTTACATGCGTTTTACATATAACATGTGAATATAAATAAAAGGTCACAAGCTTGTTTTTTTATATTTTTTATATTTAAAATATTATTATTATTATTATTATGATGATGAAAATATAAAAAATGGTTTATACAGGTTGGACCAAATCAATTGTTACAAGCTTTTCTTTTTTTTTTTTTATTTTTTTTTTTTTTTATTCTTTTTTTTTTTATTTGGACTACCTTGTATAAAATGATGGATGTAATATAAAGATCATAAGGAAAAAAAAATATGTACATTGCAATCGCTAAACGTAATCTTTAAGTATAGCTTTCATATAAAAATGTGTTATCTAATCGGTACTAATAGAATTCGCATGCACTAATTTACGTCATCGAGAGCATGCATTCTCGTAAATATAAATACAGAAAGAGAGAGAGAGAGAGAGAGAGAGAGAGAGAGAGAGAGAGAGAAAGAGGGAGAAATGATTAACTAATTCGATCGATCGAAAAAAAAGAAAAGAAAAGAAAAGAAGAATAATGAATAAAAAGTAAATCCTTTTAAAAAAATAAAAATACAAAAAAAGAAATGAAAAAAGAAAAAAAAATAAATAAGAAAAAAAAGCAGGCATAAACACATAAAAAAGAAAAATAAAGAAAAACAAGATTATTGTCGTAATCGTCGCGATAATAAAAAGATAATCGGGATAATCGAAAAGGCTGCTATTTATATGAGCGTTTTTTCTTTTTTAACATTTGATTAATATTTCATATAAATGATCAATATTTATAATAAAATATCTTTCGATAAGTAATATACAAATGACGCAAACTTCGATCCGATTAATTACTTATCACGGTCAAAATATTCATACACGCATATATATATATATATATATATATATATATATATATATTTACAATGATTTTATTAAAAATATCGATCGAAAAAAAAAAAGAAAAAAAGTGAATTGGATAATAAACTTTTGCAAGCTCTTTTTCTAATTCAAATAACGTGATCTATCGTCGAGATTTATCGGAAATAAATTTTATATTTTTTTTTTTTTTTGCTTTTCTTCTCTCCCTCTCTCTCTCTCTCTCTCTCTCTCTCTCTCTCTCTCTCTTTCAAAAGAGAGAAGGAGAGGGAGAATAAATCTCTTTTGCAATCGTTCTTATATATTATTATTACACGCAAAACAAAACGTAATTGTAAATATTCGTCTACATAACTTGTTAGAATAATCGAATAGTCAATCGATTTATATATTTCAAAGATCATTGACTTTGATTATCGATCTTATAGAGATATTTATATATACCTACCTTTGATCGATATTACATAATAGTATCAAAAATAGCTTTACATAAATAGGAACATATGTACGTAGGTCATAATTATTCATAAAAATAAAAGAAGAAAAATTCATAAATAAATTATTGAACGATTTTTTTTGCTCTTTTCTCCTTTTTTTTTTTTTATCCTTTATACATTCATAAATAATTTAAATCTTTCATAGTATTCCCATTAATGTAATTCAATCATTATTAAACTCCAAAAGATACAACAACAACAACAACAACAACAATAACAATAAGAACAAGTACAAGAATACAAGTTATTAACTACAATATACATGTGACTAAATAAGATCTAAAAAAGAAAAAAAAAGAAAAAATGGAGGGTAGATGGACGTAGTAAAAAAGCGTTGTGATAACTAAAAGTAAACCCTAAGTAAAAAAGGGAAAAAAACGGGAAACAAATAAGAGAGAAAAAGAAAAGAAAAAGAAAAATCGAATTGGAAATATTAAAAAATAAAAATAAAAAAAAATGGAAAAAAAATAATGATAAACAATGACTTCGAAGAAAAAAAAGGAATAGAAAAAGAATAGAAAGAGAGAGAGAGAGAGAGAGAAAGAAAAACAACTCAAAAGAAATAAAAGAAAAGAGGCAGGGCGGATTGGGAGAAAGAAAAATCGATCGATTTATCAATAAACGATATTGTACATATACAAATATGTATCCAGAATCAGTACCTTATCTTCGACGGTAATCCAGACCATTCTAGCAGGCTGCGTAAATAAATGGAAAACTGGAATTAGTATAACGAACGGATTTTCACAATAACGAAAATGACAACGACGACAACGACGACAACGAGAACGACGATGATGACACAGTGACAAATCGATCGAGTATATCGGATATTTTAAGTAATGTGTAAATCGTACCAATACTAAACGTCGTTGTTTATTAACGAACCTAGTAGCACTAACAGAGTTTTGCAATAATGACGAAGACGATACTATAAATGACGAAAAATTAAACGATGAAGTGAACAAGGAAGAGAAGAAGGAGGAAGAGAAGGAGGAAGAGGAGGAGGAATAAAAACCAAAGAAAAATTGTTGTCTCGTATTTAACGATGACGATGACGATGACGACGACAATGATCGAAAAGAAGGAGAAAAAAGGAAGTAGAAATTTTTATTGACGACATTAATGTTACGTATTGAATAAAATCGCTTTGTCGTATACATATGTATGTATGTATGTATAATATATATATATATGTTGTATGTATGTATGTATGTATGTATGTATGTATATATGTACGTATAATTTCAAACGTTCTATTGTATTTAGTTAAACACACACAAAGAGATAAAGAAAAAAAGAAAGAGAATTAAACATATAGAGAGAAAAAGAGAGAGAGAGAGAGGGAGAGAGAATATTATTGAGGTTAGAAACGAAACTATGCTATCCTCATCCTCTTCTTCTTCTCGTCGATTCGTTCCCAAAATAAAATGACGTTGCTAACAACGAAAATTACTAGTCTCGAACTTCGATTTACAAAATAAAGAAGGTTATAAGTAATAATAATAATAACAACGACGACGAGGAAGACGATGATGATAATAATGATGATGATGATGATATTAAAGATGATGATAATCAAGAAAACGAACGATTAATTAATAATTTTAAGGAAAATAATATAATTTTTGTTTTCTATCTCTAAAAGCATCCATCTATCGATTTCAATTGTTTCGTATAACGTTATAGGTTATTTTTTGTATGAATAAAAATCTTTCATATAAACAAACATTCGCGATGAATAATAACTTGCTAACAATGTCATTTATTATCTTTTATATAATATCTTTTCATGAACTTTCCAAGAATAACCAATTCAAAAGAAAACGCGTGACATAATCACGTGACTATTATGCAGTTCATTAAATAATAATATGGACGTCACTTTTATTAAATAAACAAATCGTAAAAACAAATTGAAAAAAAATTATAATGTGAAGGATTAGATTTTTATTATTACGTTCCAGTGACATGCAAAAATTTAATAACAAACAAACAAAAAAAGAAAGAATGCAAAAAAAGTTAAAAATATAAAAAGAGAACATACATTTTGTGTAATATTACAAACGATTATTAAGAAATTTTTTATTTCGCGATGCGTGATAAAGGAAGAATCTTAATAATATAAAATTCCTTCTTTTTCGTAAATATCTCTGAAAGAAAATCCCTACGATCAAGTAATTAATGTTAGAAATAAAATGTATTAACCTATAAAATTCTATTCACACGATGATAATTTCCAATAATGAGAAATAAACACGACACGTACTCACACGTGTTACATTATTACATATATTACGTTATTATACACAATATATGTAATATCATTCATAGAAATGATACAATGAGAAATATAATTGTTCAAATCTAATTACAATAGTACAACGTAAAAATATTTATATTGTATCGTGCGAAGAACGTCTATCCTATAATTTATATTAATTAATAATCAGAAATGTCTTAATCTATAAAAAGATACTCTAACGATGGTGATTTGCACGCGAGTAAATGATAACATGTTACTCTCGAAGCAATCGTTATGATTTATTGTTGATGAATGAGAAAGGAATTTGAAAACCATAAAGTCAGAAGACACGAGATTGTCACGCGATACGTACATGCCATTGATCGTGTAATGATCTTATATCGCCACGCCTAGTTCTTTTCGCGGCAAATTTGAAAATTAGTGCTTTCTCAATTATATAGAACATATAGATATGTATTTTTACAAATGAGATAAACTCGACCGATCGATTGGTCGAGGAGAGAGAAAAAAAAGAAAAAAAAAAAGAAAAGAAAAATACAAATTAAAAAAAAAAAAAAAAAAAAAAAAGAAAAACCGACCATCGTGATAATCGTACTACTCGACGTCGTTCGATCATCAAAAAAGATATTCAGATAATCGATACTCGAAGTTGCACTTCGAGTTATTACGCAACGAATCATCAATTGTATCATCGACGAAAAATCGTCGGATTCAAGATAAACTCAATTTTATTGGGATTTATTAAAAATCGGTTAAAACCGAATGAAAACGATATAATAAATATCATCTTCCTATGTATCGCGTAATGACAATAACCTATTAATATGAATTCGTCTCAAATGAGATTATCAAGTTCTATTTGTCATTTATTTTTATCATTTTTATTAATAATGTTTGAAATTAATAATAATAAATATATAAGTATCGAATCTAACAAGTACTTTCAAGTTCATTCGAAATGCGATGTTACAGATTAGAAAATTTCAATGATAACGGCAACTTGAATATACGCTGTAAAGATTCTTTAACGATCCCAGAAATTTACGATCAAATGAACAAAAATACATTATTATATTAATAGTCTTTGGTATATTCTAATCTCTGAAGTCATATATATATATATATATATATATATATATATATATACACATTTGTGTTTACGTGTATATATATATATATGTATATAATATGTGTATATATATATGTGTATATATATATGGATTTATTAGAAGGAATAAATATATATGTATGTATGTTCGAAGCAGATTGGGAATCCACTCGTAGAACGTGAAGTACGTACGAAAAGGACGCGTCAAGGTTGACAAAGAAAGAGAGAGAGAGAGAGAGAGAAAGAGAGAGAGACATACATACACATAACACATGTAATTTTACTATAAGAGGTCAAACCACTCCTTTGTCGATTCAATCAATTTGATTCAATATCAAACTAATTTCGATATTTTCAATTAAATTGATTGATTTTAGCCGGTCATATGTTGATTCTTTTTTTTCTTTATTATATCTGAGAGTAACAGAGGTCATGACCTCTGCAGATTTAGTAATGTTCAAAATGCCGAATCTTTTTACTTATATACTAAGGGGGAAAAAAAAAATTGTCATTCAAGGTTACAGACAGAAGAAGAGTCTCTCATTCTCTCTTTCTCTCTCTCTCTCTCGTGAGATTTTCATCAAGGTTGTTTTCACACTTGTTCTTAATATATAACACTTAGATACATTGGCGCTCTAATCGATTTCCATGTAATTAGTTCGAAATCGAAAAAAAGACTCGTAGAAATAATCCTCATTAAAAAAGGATATATTAAAGAAAAACGATCGAAAAAATATTCATAGAATATTTTTTCGCCCAAATTATATATATATATATATATATATACACATGTATATACGTAACGACGACATAATCGCATACTATATAAATCATCGATTCAATTACAATTTGAAAAATGAATATATTAATTTTGTTACCTTATTGTAATGATCGTTGATTCGTTTGAAGGGGGGAGAAAAAAACCGCACGGGATTTTGATGTGACACAAGAGGGGAAAAAAAAATTTGTCGAGTTCCGAGTACGTGCACGAAACGATGACAATTTGAGACTTGTCCAAGAATTCGATACGTCCCGTGTATTAAACAGATCTATTGTTGGCAGCGCCTCTAGCGGACAACGTTCAAAAATTATATCCTCAAATTTTGACTAACGTTCAAATTAAAAATTGTAATAAGAAAAAAGAGAGGTAAAAAAAAAAAAGAAAGGATACTTATAAATATTTCTCTGTAAATATTCGTACGACGATAATAATTTTTTTTTCTTCAAGAATCTCTGATAATCCATTTTTTATTTATTTATTTCCTCTTTTTTTTTCTCTCTTTTTATACGACATCGCTCTTTCTTTCTTTCTTTCTTTTTTTTTTTTTTTTCTTTTTCCTCCTTTATCCTCGAAACAATCGGATATAAAATAATTTAAATCTTTCAAAACACTAGTATGACTCGATAATATTAAATTATTTTTTTATTCCTTACTTCCGAATAATTTACTTGAGTAACGATTAACGATAAATAATATATATTGTTTGTTTAACGTACTTTATCGTTATCTTATAGGGAAATATCGCAACCAATTGGATCGTCGTTCTTAAAATTAAAGAGAACTAAGAAAGTGACAGGAAAAACGTCACTGACGGGAAATCTACGGTGATACAATTGAAAGAATATATTATAGATACTCTACTGTATTTTAAAAAACATTGACATCAGCGCCACCACGTGAGAGAATATGCATTTATACGTATCCATATCTATACATATATATATATGTATATATAACTTGACTTGGCTTATACTGCAAGCGTCAGTAGTAAGTTTTGTAGTTTTCTAACTGTGTGTGCGCGCGTAACGTTATGCATATAGTCCTTTAACAGACTTTTTGTTCTGAAAACGCGGGGTGTTAAGCATAAATTCACCGTTAAGGTAGCTTCGTGATTTACGAAGAACTATTTTCAAGCTAAGGGAAGGCGAATGTCGTGTTTTCTTATCGTGATTTGGAGGTACGCGTGTCATGAGACCGCGGGGAAATGAATAATGACGAATCGGTCGGGGATTAAAATATGATTCGAGCAAGATGAGGAGGACGTACAATACCACTGTAGATGCCCGAACATCTGATTGCGTCGAATTTACTAGGCGTTTGTACAAGTAAAAGCAATCATTATCTTTTTTATTTTTTTTTTCTTCCCTTTTTTTTCTTTCCTTTTTCTATATTTACTTCTTATCGAACAATTGAATTATAATACTTTTACTTGATTCTTTCTCTTTTCTTGACCTTTTCTTTTTCCTTCTTTTTTTCTTTTCTCTTTTTTTTCCCCCAAAATATGTCGAATTATTTTTGAGAAGTGGTTCCGCATAACCTAACGAGGAACATCAATTTTAATTCCTATGCCGTTTATTGTAGACGTTTAATATCATGCTCCTTTCATTTCAAAAGTTTAATCTAAAACGATATTATGACCTTTATTATTTTAATATTCATGCAACAATGAATTCTTTTTTTTTTTTTTTTTTTTTTTTTTTTTCTTAAGACAATTTTTCTCTTGATATTAAATTTAGTATGCTATTTTGGTACAGTGCTTATTATTATTGCTTTGGTTTTGGACCCAATGGAATTGGATTTATGTAACTTTTATCGATCAGAAAATAAATATATTTCAGAAATATAACAGACGTTGCTAAAAGATTGGATGAACAGAGGAGTCGAGCATTAACAGTAACAGATATATTTATTCCTTCTGGTGAAGTGTTAAGAGTGAAATTAAAGGATTATTGTGAGAGATTAATTTTTAAAGATCCCGTTGGTCATGGTCGTAAAACTGAAGAATTATTATGGAGAAAAGGGTTTTATGACATTGTATATGCAGCAAAAAAATTACGAAAGGTAATAATTCATAGGTTTATGAATTCATGAATTTTTTTTTTTTTTTTTTTTTTTTTTTTTAACAATTCATAAAAATAATTAAAGATAATGTTATATCATAGAATAATGCCTGGAGCGATGCAGAGAAAGCATTATTATTTGTTCATTTGGCAGTTGGTATAGGATTTTATCATCATTTGATATTAAGATTACAATTGGAATATGGTTTAGATTTAGTTGGTGTCATTGATTTTGCATTCACTCACAATGAAACTGGAGCATTACATGTAAGTAATTTTATTTTAATAAAATGTGATTCATAAAAAAAAAAAAAAAAAAAAAAAACATTCGACAAGTTATATAAAATATTATTTTCTTATTTTTTTCTTTTCTTTTTTCTTGTAGACCAAAAATAAAAATGGTGGTCAATCTAAAATTAATACAGAGGAAATGAAACAATGTGTTATGAGACTCATTCACAGAAGTTTGGTATGTCTGGGTGATTTGACTAGATACAAATTGGAATTAGATCCAAATTGGGATCCTATGATAGCAAATAGATATTACAAAATGGCGATATGCATAGATCCAAATATTGGAATGTCACATAATCAACTTGGTACAGTAGCAGGCAATAAAAATTATGGACTCGATGCAGTATATTATTACATGAGATGGTTAATATAATTTATTTAATATTTTTTTTTTTTTTTAATATCTGATAAGTCTCATAAATAGTACTTTACAGTGTTCTATGTTCTGAACCCTTTGAAGGAGCAGAAGGTAATTTGAAGAGAGCCATTATAACTTATTCAACGTGTTCCGATGATAAATGTTCAGTTCAGCATTGTATATCAAGATTGTTATCTCTGTTGCAATTGTGGGATTGTGAAATTCCAAATTCTGATCGTGTAAATCAAGAGTGCCAGGTATATTTTAAATTAAACATATATGTCACATTACATGTATAGTATCTTATATAGAATCATGTTCTCTTTTTCTCTTTTTCTCTCTCTCTTTTTCTTTTTCTTTTTCTTTTTTTTTTTTTTTCTCTTTTCCTTTTTAGGATCTTTTAAATGACATTGAGTTTTGTTTGAGCATGGAACAAGTTGATTCAAATAATCCAATAGATATTAAAAATGATGATAACATTGAAAATTATCTTCAATCGTGCAGAAATGAAAATGTATCTTACTTAACGGATGAAATAATATTTAAAATTGTTGCCATCTGTCTAATGTCAATTTCCAAATTAAAAAGTAAAGAATCCACTGAAGTGCATGGTGTCATTGCTATAACTTTAGCGATATTATCACAATTAGTACAATTTGCTATAACGCGAATACAGGAGTCATTGATAGACGTGCCATCAGCTTTAACCGAAGTAACAAATAATAAACCTTGTTCTGTAGAAAATGATGTTAAACAGAATATGTTTAATAATTCGGACGTAGCTGGAGTATATGAAGAACAAAAAAAAGAAAAAATTGGAAATCCATATAAAGGCAAAGAATCTACTGATTTAAATAATATTGATAAAAATTTGAATAATGTGAAACAAATCTTAGAAAGTAATGGAAATGCATATCAAAGTACAAAAAAGACACCTGACAAAACAAAAAGTTTACTTACAAAACTTCGACGTCGAAAGAGAAGAAATAGTTCAGATTCCGAGGGAAGTGATATAAATCAGATGAATGTAGGATCCTCTAGCGACGAAGCAAATACGGATATTTCTGAAACTGAGGATGATATTCTCAGCGAAGGAAATATATTGTCAGATGATGGTTTATCCGATGAAATAACTGACGAAGAAGGTATTTCTAAAGAAACAAAAATAGAAACTGTCAATATTAAATCAAACGAACAGTTAAATGGTGAAAACAATATTGATAATAATACAACAAATTACACAGAAACTGTAGCTTTTCAAAATGGAGAAAATACTCATTTACAAAATGGTGGTAGTCTTAAAAATGATGACAAAAAAGATTTAAAAGTTATGAATGAAAAAGAATCAATAGAGAACTCTAAAAGTACTACGACTATAACAGCAAATATTAATTCAGGCACTGCATTGGATGAAATTGGTGGATCAATAAATGCAATAACATATGTGGCACAATTGAAAAAACATAATTTGAAGCCAAACGACAGTTTGAAAATTTTAGAAGGTCAAGGGATACTTGCATCAATAAAAATTTGTTGTGATTGGTTAAGAAGTAATCATGATATCATAAGACTGTGTGCAAGAAGTTCAAAAATATTACTTAAACGAATAACGATATTATTAAATTTAATAAATATTAATACGGACGTTATCTTAAGAGATTGGGATACAAATACTATTTTTGTTTCAAATACTGAGGATTTACAAAAACTTGTGAAGCTCGTTCCACTTCCTGAAGATTTAGATTTGAGAGGTGTTAATATATTGGAAGATGCTCAAAAAAGTTTAAATTGGAAGATATTACATAAGTGTAAGATGAATAAACAAATGGAGATACTGCTAAGGGCATTAAAATTAATTGAATTTGGACATTATCTCAGTTCTACTAAAGATTCTGGGATAAAATATGACAATGATAACAAATTGTTTATAACAATCAATCCAAATATTTCTAGTGCAATAAAGGGTGATAATCTAGAGAGTAAAGACTCAGAAGCAAATCATTCAAGAGGAAAATTAATGAGACATATGGGAAGACTTTGGTTAAAAGCTGAAGTAAGAGCCTTAGAGACCCGTTTGCGATCTAGATTGATGTCACCTTATTTGGTACCTGATCACGAAGCTTTAGCCAAACATACTCCTGCTCTTAAACGTTTGGTATATGCAAAGAAATTTATTGTGGTCATTCCTACCGTTGGTAAAAACAGTTTAATATATTTTAATAAAATAGATTATATTTTCTAATATTATCAAACGTCGCATTGATATATATTTATATATATATATATATTTTTTTTTTTTTTTTAAATAAAAAATTTCAATTTATAGTTGTCTCTGCTTTGGATGAAGTAAAACGAATAAGTGGTCGTGCCAGAGAGGCAACCAGATGGTTAGAAACACAACTTCGAAAGGGATCAAGATTTTTACGAGCGCAAAGACCGCACGAACGATTAGCACTTCCTTTGATTAAAGGTCCAAGGCCAAAGGATAAAGAAGCATGGTTATTTTTTCAAATAATAGAATGCTGCCACTACCTTACACAACAAACGAAAGTTGGATTAACAAACGACACAGAAGCTCCAGTTGTAACACTTCTTACAGGTTGTAGTCCAGATGAAAAAAGAAGTTTTACTTTTAGTCCTGATGGATTAGCAAAAAGTGCAGGTAATTTATATTTATTAAGAATAATAATAAATCGATGTAGAATATTTAACTCTGTGTATGTATGTACATATATACATATATACATATATATATATATTTACATGTTATTATTAACATTGTTATTATTAGGTGTTAACATCGAACATATAGAATCATTTCATACAAAGTGGAAAGCATCTAGCAAAAGTCATGGTTGAGCAGAATCAATGCTCGTGCAATGTCTATTATCTGCTGCTATCTCAAATTGAAGAGATAACAAACGATACGTCCGTCTAAAAAGAGCTGCTCAAGTTCTGCTCGGGCGAATACGACGAAGGGGTTGGAAACCCATGAAAAAAAGAAAATTAATTTTTCTGAAATAAATTCGTGGAAATAATATCTTTGTCCACAAAGAAATTCTAAGTAAAAGAATGTTTTCTTTCTAACCATTCATAATTTTTTTTCCCCCTTTTTTCTCCTTTTTTTTTTTTCTTTTTTTTTAAGTTGAACATTGTATTTTTAAAGTAAACGTTTTTGAATATTAACAAGACTATATATTTAACATTTTATTTATCATGCCCTTCACTTTTTAATCCTTATTTTAGATCTTATAACAAGTACCTCAAAATAAAATGCTTTAATACGATCAAAATTATATATTACTTCTTTGATTAGGGGAAAAAAAAAAATTTGAATCATAAATCATGAATCATTCAAAATATTTTACATGCAACATCATCAACGATTTCACAATGATATACATATGAATTACTATCGTATATATATATATATACTATATATACTTTTCATAAGATAAAATACCACTTAAAAGCTTCCACGTGGTAATACAAAAGCAACCAGGACAGAAATATACAGCTGGTAACAACTGAAATATATCAATTCGAATTAATTATATTATTATCCATGATGATCTTGCAAAATAAATAATAATTAATATAAATATAATATTTATTTACCTATTATATTATCTCTTAAAATATTTTTATTATATTATCTGTATTAAAAATTTAAAAGATTTTAATTATTTATTTCCATGCACGTTTACACACACATATATATATATATATATATATATATATATATATATATATACATATCTACCAGGCAACACCCCACCTGTACCTTTTATAGCATACGTGCGGATTAATAAAACCAGTACTTTTACGTTGTACTTGTGGCAACGTAACATAACCTATAAGTTTGGAAATCGATGATTCTTCGATACAAAAGGTAATATTAATAGATCGGTGAAAAACAATAAGATTATAAATATTTTTCATTAAACGAGAATATTCAATCGAGATACGATATATCGATCATTAAATTATACGTCCTATATCATTTTATGTTAATTGAAATATCGTCGAATACTTTGACGTGTGTGTATGTATTGCGGTTTCCTCGTTTCTCGTATTATATATCTTTCAGCGTTAGAATAGTTGATCAAGTTGGCCCTTCTATGTAGACTTTATAGTTCTTTGGTATAACTTGTTAGACAAAATTCAGAAGTAGTTACTTCGAAAATTGAGAAGAAATTAAACCTGTGATTTGAGGTGGCGTGCAAGAAGCCGAGGTTGTGGAAAAGTTTTGTGCGCAATTGAGAATTCCGACGGTAGAGAATTGAAAGCGTCGAAAGTAACGAGTCATCTACCAAATCAAGATGGCAGAAGGGCAAGAGAATCGGAAGAAGATCACTATTAACGTTAAAACGCCGAAAGAAAAACAGAGCGTTGAAATAGAGGAAGATGCGACGATTAAAGATGTAAGTGTCATAAAGTATCGTTTGATCGAACGTTTACTATCTTAGATTTTACGATGAAACATCAGCTGTCATTCATGGGTTAGTTTTAATTATTACTTTTTCTTAAATAAACAGTTTAAAGAGGCGGTCTCGAAGAAATTTAACGCCCAGATAGATCAGTTGTGTTTGATATTCTCGGGGAAGATTATGAAAGATCATGAAACACTTACTACACATAATGTCAAGGATGGTTTGACCGTACATTTGGTTATCAAAGCACCCCGCACACCAACCAACCAAACTCAAGAGTCCGTATCGTCTCAGAGACCACAAGGTACGATATTTCATTTTATTATTTCTCATTATATATTTATTATTTATACTATTAAATATTTTCTATATAAATTTATATTAAAGATATGTTTCTTTTTTTTTTTTTTTCTTTTTTATTTCAACATATTTAATTTGTATTTATAATTGAAGAATCAAATTATCCACATTTTTAACGACATCATTCTTTTCAAATTAAATATATTAGAATATCAGATGTGAGATATTGAACAGAAATATCAATGTATATATAATGTGTGTGTGTGTGTGTATGTATGTATATATATATATCCATTCTATATGTACTACATCATATTTAACAATATGATGAAATATTTATTTTTTTTTTTTTTATATTTCATGTTCCAGCTGATATAAGTGCCAGTCCTTTTGGTCTTGGTAGCTTAGGTGGACTTATGGGGTTAGAATCTCTTGGATTAGGTTCTGCTAATTTTATAGATTTGCAGCAACGTTTACAACGTGAATTATTGTCGAATCCAGAAACAATGCGTCAAGTTCTTGATAATCCATTGGTGCAAAGCTTTATGAATGATCCAGAGAATATGCGCAATTTGGTCACAACTAATCCCCAAATGCAGGAACTTATGCAAAGTAATCCTGAAATTAGTCACATGCTAAATAATCCAGAACTTTTAAGGTACGTATATAATATCATAAGATAAATAAATATAATTATAAAGAAAGAGAGTAATAATAATGATTAATAAAATATAAAAGTTATTTAACAGATTTTATTTGATAAGTAAAAAAACAATATAACATAAGAAATATATTTCTATAGACAAACAATGGAGCTAGCCCGTAATCCATCTATGCTACAAGAACTAATGCGTTCACATGATCGTGCTCTATCTAATCTTGAGAGTATTCCTGGTGGATATAGTGCTTTACGCCGCATGTATAGAGATATTCAAGAACCTATGCTTGCTGCTGCAGCAAACGAACGTAATCCTTTTGCAGCATTGGTAGAAAACAGCAATAACCAAGATGGACAAACTAATCCACAGCAAGGTCAAGAAAATAGGGATCCTTTACCCAATCCCTGGAATCAAAGTCAGAATGAAACATCTAATCAAGGTCAACAACAAGGTCAGGGTAGAGGCCTTTTGGATTCACCTGGAATGCAAAGTCTTGCAGCGCAAATGATGGAGAATCCTCAGTTAATGAGAAATATGTTAAATGCCCCATATACAAGATCCGTATTAGAAGCTATGGCAGCCGATCCAGCCATGGCCAGTAGAGTGATAGCTGCAAATCCATTTCTTAGGTCAAATCCACAAATGCAAGAACAAATGCGTGCTATGATGCCGGCTTTTATACAACAAATGCAAAATCCACAAATACAAAATGTCGTCACCAATCCGGATGCTTTAGCTGCTATTATGCAAATTCAACAGGGCATGGAGCAGCTACGAACCGTTGCACCCGAACTCGTTGAAAAGTAAGTGATTAAATATTAATTTTTACAGTATTCGTAAATTTTTATTGAAAAAAATATTAGGGTGGGCGGCCGGGTGGGGAAGGGGGAGGAGGAAAGGAAGAAAATAGGTTTTACGTGATTATCGATGATTTGTAAAAACTGAATTATATACGTTATAATTATCTAGCTTAGGACTAACTGTACCTAGCGCACCGGCAACAACACCGGGAAATACAGCTACCACAACTTCAAATCCATCGACAGGGCAAACAACGGATACGAATCAGCAGGATGCATTTTCTCAATTTATGGCTCGCATGGTAAGTATATATTATGTATATATCTCTTTCTAATAAATCATTTTATCTATGTACAATATACTTCAGTATTTTTCTTATTATTGATTACGAAATTTTTTTTTCATGTATTAGGTATCAGCAATGGCACTAAATCAAGGAGTAGAAGTTGATGGGCAACCTGTACCACCACCAGAAGAACGTTACAGAGCACAGTTAGAACAACTTACGGCTATGGGTTTTGTGAACAGAGATGCTAATTTACAAGGTATTAAATATAACGAAGATCATAAAGAACTCTCGTTGATTGGTTTAAAATGATATAGGTCCATTCATAGGATGATTTAATGAATTTTTTTTCTTTTAGCTTTGATCGCTACTTTTGGAGATATAAATGCTGCTGTTGAGAGACTATTGGCTAATGGACAAGTATCTATGAGCTAACCACCAATCTGCAATACTGTTATTCCATTACTATCTTTAATTATATCCTTATTTACCTCTTACGACTGGCATGAAGAAAGATACACGAGGTAACTGGCTATTGAAAATTATAAACTTCTAATTTGAATCTTGACAGAATACATACTACTGACACGTTTAATATGCATTTGTACATTTAATCCGATTAGTACTTGCTCAGTTCTTTTCCGATCATTTTTTACTAGAACAACAAATATCAGCAGTTAAGATTACATTTCAAAATCCGTTTCCCATAAATGCCGAATCTCCTTAAATGTTATTCTTTCTTTTTTGTTTTTTTCCCCTCCGCCCCGCCTCCCTTTTTTCTTCTTTTTTTCTTTTTCTTTTTTTTCTCCTTCTCTTTTCTTTTTTTTTCTTTTTTTTTTTTTTGTATTTTTGATGTGCTCTAAAAAAAAAATATATATATATAAAACTCTGTTGATATATCCTATTACACTTGAAAATTATTTCTGGTGTTTCTTAGAAACGATCAAACCTGCATGGAAAATAGATTGCTGCTGCTCATTGTATTGCTTCGGGCTTTATCCATGATATATTCTCTAATCGGTTTTTCATAAATATAATATTAATAATAATAATAATATAATTATTATAATAATTATACAATAGGAGGTATATTCACCTGTATTATAAATCATAATATACAAATTATTAATACATTTTTAAGAAAAATAAATGCAGAAATTACGAGATATATATATATATGTATATATATATATATGTGTGTATATATATATATATGTATATATATATATATTACGATATATATATATTGGACGTATGATGTTATGCATATCTTGTTTAGTTCCATGCGAGTTTTACGTTTAAAACGTATAATAGTGATACGTTTTAGCTTGTTCTATTTTCTGTCGTTTTGAAAATACAAATTTACATATAAACAAAATTTAACGAAAGCTAGTTGGATAAATATTTTCCATGGAAGTTTGGAGAGTATAAGTATGTGTATATATATATATATATATATAAACAAAAAAAGATATATATATATATATATATATATATATATATAAACAAAAAAGTATATATATAAACAAAAATAACGAAAAAAAAAAAAAAATGAATTTTCAATATTTTTTCCGTTATTCTTCACGTTGATATGCACCATCTTTTTTTTTTTTTATTATTTTCCTTTTTACTTTCTTTTTTTTCCTTTTTTTTTCCTTTTTTTTTCTTTTTCTCTTTTTTTTTTTTGGATTTAATTTAGTCTGCCTATAAACATAAACGTATTAAGCGTTATATGTCTTGTAATACAAATTTTAGAGATTTGTAGCGTGGCGATCAAGAAACTAATGACGTAGGTTGTTTATAGAAGAGCGTACGTAAAGATTGACTTGATAAAAAAGCGTCACATGTAAATGTGTTGAAATTTAAACCTAATTAATTGTCGGTTAGTTTTAAGGTATTAAAAGAAAAACAGAAAAATGAAAAAAAAGAAGAAAAAGAGAAAAAAAAAGAAAAGAAAAGAAAAGAAAAGAAAAGAAAAAAAAAACGGTGAATGTTGTAAATTATCTTTATCGAGAGGAAATATCTATAATTTCAATATTTTGGATTAATGTACGATTAAAGAAAATATACGTACGCATTATATTATCCTTTATGTATATTCAATATATTTCACTGAAACAAGACATTCTGTAAAACCAATTGTATTACAAATAAAATTGTGGTTGATTCATATCGATCGGTTTACGACTATCGTTGCTTATATATGCTTCTGTATATTATCGATCGTAGCGTAGTAATAGAAATAATGTAACGTTCAAGCAATATACACATACATACATATACACACTATATATACTTTATTAGTATTATAAATATCATCGATAAACTGAATATTTTAATAATCGTATATATGTATATATATATATATATATATATATATATATATACATATATATACACACATACATTATTACGTTGAAGCAATATACACGCATATATACACACATTATATATACTCTATTAATATTATAAATATCATCGATAAACTGAATATTTTAATAATCATATATATATATATATTATTATATTGGAATATATAAGTATATATAAATAATATTTTAATAACAGGGATGTTGCGAATATAATCGATAATAAGACAATTTTATCAACAATAAAAACACGTCTTGCAAATTAAAAGATACAAAAAAAAAAACAAAAAACCAATATATTACAAATATATATATATACCTGTATGTGTGTGTGTATACACTATATACCATATCCAGTTACTCGGATAAATAAGTAAAAATATTTGTATAATCGTATATATACGAGCGTGTATATATATATATATATATATACACATATATATACATACCTATAATGTGTAAAAAAAAAAACAAAGACGGCGGCGAGTATATTAGTCCCATCGTTAGTCAACAGGTATCGCGTAGGGCGAAGGTATACTCGCGCCGTTCCTGGATAGGTCGCGAGAAGTGCGACGAGGAGATAGGTAGAGGGTTGGGATGGCGAGGGGTGGGGGGATAGAGGAGAGGTGGTACGGCCCCTGGCGCGCGATGGGCCAGTCTTGCGCGTTGCCTCGCCGGTCGCTTGGGTCGACCGGCTGCCTCAGTCGAAATTCGACCGTGCAGCGCGACGTATATTATAGTTTGGATATACGACGAGCGGCGGCCGCTGTAGTACATAATTCGCGATTGCGGCAACGCGATAGTAACAGGAACACGGTTAGCGCGCTCGCGCGCGCGCTCCAGCAACACCAGCAGCTGCCCGCACCATCAGCTTCTTCTTTTTCTTTTACTTTTTCTTCTTCATTTTCCTCCACCTCCTTTTCTTCTTCATCTTCTTCTTCTTTTTTTTTATTCGACGATTATTAATATTAATATTATCGATATTATTATTGTTATTCTATTATTATTATTATTATTATTTTATTATTACTATTATTATTATTATTATTATTATTATTATTATTATTATTATTATTATTATTATTATTATTATTATTATTATTAAAGATAGCATTATTTTTATTTACTATTCTTATTATGCTTGACAATTTGGACGATCAATCGTGAATATATTTCCGATTGATGAAAACGAGTTATTTGATTTTTAGCGCGCAATCGGTTCGCGTTTGAAATTACGAAACTGACGAAAAGGAAGGAGAAAGAAAGAGAGAAAGAGAGAGTGAGGGAGAAGGAGAGAAAGAGAGAGAGAGAGAGAGAGAAAGAGAGAGAGAGAGAGAGAGAGAAAGAGAGAGAGAGAGGGAGAGAGAGTGTGTGATAAAGAGAGAGAAAGGAAGAGGAAGAAGATACAGAGAGAGAGAAGGAGAGCAAGATAGTAGAAAAGGACGAAGAGAAGGGAAAGGGAGGGGGGAAGAAAAGATCAAGTGTCGGTAGTGGCAAGTGCGCGGGTGTTTCGCCGGATCAAAAAGTTGGATGATCTTTAAAGGTGTCTCGTTTGTTCTATCGGCCCGTTTATTTATATATATTTTAATTGCTGTCATCGGTTCGTCATCGTTATTATTTTATTCATCGATTACGACGAAACGTCGACGAAAACGTTCGGGGAAGCCAGCAAGCAACGGAATGTGGCACGAGGTGAGTTAGCAGCTCGCCCGGTTTCGCTTAACCGCGCGCGCGCGCGCGAGAAAGAGAGACAGAGAGAGAGAGAGAGAGAGAGAGAAAGAGAGAGAGAACGACAGAGAGAAAGAGAGAGAGAGAGAGAGAGAGCGAGCGAGCTCAGGGACGGACTCCCAAAGTCCCTGGACCCTTTTTCGACCTTGCGACTTCGATTTAGGGCCCTCCGTCCCTAAATCCTTTTTCTTCTGTTTTTTCTTCTTTTTTCTTCCTCTTCTTCTTCTTCTTCTTCTTCTTCTTCTTCTTCTTGGTTCCTTTTTCTTATTATCTTCTTTCGCGCGCTCATGCGCGCTCTGCTCTCTACTCTCCTTTTCTCTCTCTCTCTCTCTCTCTCTCTCTCTCTCTACTTCTCTCCTTCTCTCCTCCTTCTCCGCCATCAAACTATACAACTCTCTTCGTATATTCCTCCCGTTCGACTTATAATTTTTCTTCCGAACGTATTCGATCCTTCTTCTCGAAACAAGAAGACGATCATCTTTCGTACGATCGATTTTCGAAGAATCGATCATGCCGATCAATTTGACGTTACGTACGTATATATGTTGCATGTATGCATATATATCTATTTACTTATGTATGCATGTATCGTATTTATGTATGTGCATATGTATTTATAAATATATACATATATATATATATTTTATATGTACGTAGATACATATATATATATATATATATATATATATATATATATATATATATATTTGCGATCGAACGTAGAGTACACTCGGTCGATCGGTCGGTAAAGTGTCGACATTTTTCTACGAAGTACAATGAATTAAAACGATATCAAAGAATATAGAAATTTTCGTTGAATCGTTTTATATCGCTTTTCCTGATTTTCCTTCGTACGTCTTGTTTTTCTTTTTTTCCTTCCTTCTTTTTTTTTTCTTTTCTTTTTTCCTTTTTCCTTTTATTTCTATATCCACATTAATTCCCTGTTAAATTACGGGATGGGGGAGGGGGGAAATTAATCGCGTGCTTTCTCTTTTTTTTTCTCATTTTATTCTTCTTCAACGGACTTAGTTACGTAACGATAATCAAATATATTATTCGTTTGTTACTGTTGTTCGTTAATTTAGATCATAAGATTTGTACTGTTTGTCTTTTTTTCTTTATCTCTTTCTTTTTCTTTTCTTTTTTTTTCTCTTTTGCATTTTTTATTTCTAATTTAAAAATCACACGTACACACACACACACACACACACACACACGTAGGCACAGATGCACGTAGTTCGTGCGTCGTATATTTAAATATACGAACGAAATAAATCGAACGTATCGTTTTTCGAGATAAGAAGAGTCGTTTAAGACATGAAGTTGTATTCGCACGAGAAGAAGCAGATGTGTAACGTTTTTATTTCCTTCTTTCTTTTTTTTTTTCTTTTACCTTTTTTTTCTTTTTCTTTTTTGAAAGGACGATCGATAAGTACGTTACCTTTTCAACGGTTCCGATCGACGTGAAGAGGGAGAGAAATAGGATGGAGGGGGGAACGCGGAGACAGGTGTGGGGTGAGGTGGGGAGGGGTTATGAGAAGGAAGATCAAGATATTCTCATTCGACACGTTTCTAAGGTACGATTTAGCTCACGAACAAATTTCTATCGTACGAGAGCGAAAAAAAAGAGGTATGGATTTTTTTTTATAAACGTATCTTTTAAACTTTCAGACCTCCTTTCTTTCTTTCTTTTTTCTTTTTTCCTTCTTTTCTTTTCTTTTGATTCGTCATTGAAGCATCGTTTAAATATTATCTAATAAATATATATTTTCGAGAAAGTGCGTGCTTTAAGAGGTTAGGATTAAAAAAAGATGGGAGGGATAATTTATTCGATGTTTCGTTTGTAGCTTATTATTTGTCGATTAAAATCCATTCAGATAGAATATTTCGTATTAATTACGTGCGATTAAATTATTCAAGGCCATATATATATATATATATATATATATATATATAATGTGTGTATATGTATGTATCTCGAAGTAAATGTTTTATCGTGGCAAGTCATCGATCAATTTTAAAATATACGCTTTGAATTTTCGCGCCATGATAGTGAACTTGTATCGAGTGGTGGTGGTTCATTCGTTAACATTTAAAAAATTTGCTATCGATTTAATCTAATTTTTTATTTTTATTTTTTATACACTATATGTAATATTAATAATCTCTCTCTCTCTCTCTATATATATATATACATACTCTTAAGATTTTTAATCTCATTATCAGAGCTCTTTATCTTCGTATATAATATTACATGCATATCATCAGCGCTTATTTATGTTTTTGCAAAAAAGAAAAGAAAGAGAAAAAAAGAAGAAAAATACATCGAAAGTGAAGGTAAAAAAAGAATATTTCACACAAATACATATAGGTAGAATTTTTTAGAAATGAGAAAATATTAATACGATTTGTAGGTTATTTGATTTAAGAGATTATTATTTTCGCCAATCATCGCCCACCTCTATCCCCCCCTTACCGTCCCTGCTCCATTTCGTCCCTTCTTTTCTTTAGTCACGTGTATCGCATCGTTGTTTTCTATGGCTTCCGTTCACCAAGTTAGACTCGCATTTTCTTTCCTTAAACAGTCTCAAGGGGAACGCAGTTGTCGTTCGACGTTTTCCGGACTCCTTCCGAGATTCTTCCGGTATCTATTCTACGATGGAAGATCTTCGTTTTGGTAAATCGAATATATTATATATATATATATATATAATGTCGTATAGAAATGATTTTTTTTTTTTTTTTTTTTTTTTTGTATAAGTACATCGAAGATTTTTAAATTAACAAGGAGAAAGAACAATATACAATGCATCTAAAAAAAGAAAGAAAAAAAAAAAGAAGAGAAAAAGGGAATATATTTTTTTATATCTCACAGTATCGTTTTATAGAGTGGATGGGAGGAGAGCAGGGAGGGAAATTAAGAAAAGACGAAAAAAATGTTTAGATAATATAATTCGTACGTAAATAAATAAATAACGTTATATATAGAAAATAATATTTTTTTTACATTGAAATACATTTCAATGTACTATTTGCTTTCTATTTCTAAATGAACAATATTGATATTTTCTGATTAAAAATACCGTCATTACTTAATTCGATATTTCGTTTCGAATCAAATGATTTGTAAAGTATTAAAGGCTGAGAGAGAGAGAGAGAGAGATAGAGAGAGATAGAAAGATAAACAGAGAGAAAGAGAGAGAGAGAGAGAAAGAGATAGAGAAGATTAGAAGATTAGTTTTAGGTGTATTATTATCGATAGATCTCTAACGTTTGCTCAATAACAGCCAACGAGTAATTTCTTCTAGTGGATTTCGAAGCTTACGTCGACGGCCCTGAGAGAAAGAAAGAGAAAGAGAAAGAGAAAAAGAGAGAGAGAGAGAGAGAGAGAAAGAAAGAGAGAAAGAGAAGTGGCCTCGCGATTCGTGTACGCAAGATATTTTGTATCCGTTACTCCCTCGAACGCATTCCATCTCGTTGGATCTCTCGCGGCATGAATCGATTCGTCTTCGAACGTACGTCGTACGTTTTAGATTGAAGATCGCGAGAATCGATCGTGTATATCCCTCTTTCTCTCTCTCTCTCTTTCTTTCTCTCTCTTTCTTTCTCTTTCTCTCTCTTTCTTTCTCTCTCTCTCACTTCGATTTCTCGATATCGACGTCGTTAATCGAATTCATTCGAGTACCTATCTAATCGATAATTTCAATTCTCCATTTGTTGTTATTACATTAATCAACAAATAAATTAATCAAATTTTGAGATCAATCCGATCTAGAGAAGAAATCATGTCTTTTTTTACATTAGAAATATATCGTATTAATGAATTATTCGTTGTCGCGTAATTTCTAATTTTTTATAGGGATCAATTTTACGAAAGAAAAAGAGGAAAGGGAAAAAAGAAAATTAAATAAATGAATGAATAAATGAATGAATAAAGAAAAAAGATAATTCGTTTGTAGTACGTATGTATAAGTGTATCTATTTACTTTATCTTTTTTATTTATTTATTTATTTGTTTTATAATATTTTTTATCAGATAACGTTCAATAAACGAGCGAAATTAATTTTATCCACTTTTCGATACGATTTATTTTCAAACATGGAATTATATATGGGTAGAGATGTACTCGCAATATGTCAATTAAATTGTCCAATCAAAAACGGAGCAATTCATCGGGGAGATTTATTTTTAATCGCGACGAAATAAAAAATAGATATTTTAATAGATAATTTCTCTCTCTCTCTCTATCTCTTTTTTTTTCTAATTTTTTTTTTTTTTTAATATCCTAAAGCTTTCCTCTTCGTTCGTATCCATTATGTTTTTTTCTTTTCTTTCCTTCTTTCTTCTTTTTTTTTTTTTTTATTTCGAAACGTAACAAATTTTTATTTATTTAAATTATACAATATTTCGAATCAATGGACGAAAATCTTCGTGACTGATATATTAAATTATTCCCGATAGATTCATCGCTTAAAAAAATTTTCTCGATTTAAATTTTTCTTTTTTATAAATCATTACTTTATATTCGTATATATATATATATATATATATATATATATATATATATATATATATATGAGAT